CGGTGCACCACCACCCTCCGTCACCGGGGCTGCCACACCGGGGCTGCCACTCTGTAGTGGGAAAGAGGGGTAAGCAGTCCTTCCCAGACACTGCCCTGAGGCGCCTCTTTGACCTGGGACTTGGAATTACTAGTAATCGATACCTGTTTACACAACTCTTTCATAAGTTGGAATAAAAGAAGAGCAGGCCAGAAAGGCGGAAGATTCAGGTTGTATGCAGTTTCTCTGAGTCTGGTTTTTTAATCTGGTAGCTCGGGATGTGAGAGAAGACTTCAGAGGCCCCTTCGAGGCTCACGTTCGGTAGCCCTGAGACATGAGGAGGATACATACCCACTCCAAGTAGCTCTCTTCAGCCTTGGTGCTGGGTGTGCAGAGACCTGTGTCACAGGTGTTTCTTCAAAACAAGCCAGCGTCTTGTTCTTCTAGTTTCTAAAGCACCGGAAAGAACTGTCCCCCGTTATTGCCAAACTGACCACCGGAGCTCCTGCCGTCACCACTGAAATAATTTTCAGTGGTCTTAAATGTGGCGGTACTCTCATCTGCTGTGCCTACCTGCATCGAACAGCTGTGAGGAAATGGCTGTAGCCTGAGTGAGTGTGACGTAACTTCATTTTAAGGATTAAAAGCTGTAATATTAGTTAAAATAAAACATTTTAAATTGTTTCACCCAATATGTACTTTTTAAAGCAGTTTTGTGTTGGAATCTGGGTCCGTGCACATCGGTCCGCTCGCCTGTGCATGACGGAGCTGAGCGACTTTTCTTCCCTGAGGAGACGGAAGGGTTTCTGGTCTTCCCTTCCCTGGGTGTGTTCTCACCTTGCTTTCTCCTCTGCTGTCTGTCCAGAAGGAAGGTCAAGGGAGGAAAGTCACCCCCTGCCCCCTTTGCCTCTCTCGTCTGGCTCCCGGCTCAGACTTTGCCTCCAGGTATCCGTTTCATCCCCTTTAAGCCCTGAGGGAAGTCAATTCTAGGAAGACCTTCCCTCTTATCTTTCTCTAAATTGGCAGATGCCTGTCATCTGACTGCTTTCCATATCGATTAAGAAAAAGTGGGACGGGAAGGAGGCTAAGGGTTAGAGTTTCCAGAACAGCTGAGTTTTAATGTGTTCTGATTGAGAACTTGAGTTCTCAAGAAACAGTAATGCTTTGTTTGCTAAACAAGTCAGCTGAACACTGTGTTCTTTTCTGGAAAGAGTTTGGGGGATGGGCTGCAGAGGAAGGAATAAGGAATTTAAGATACCACTTTTTAAATCAGAATCAGCGCTTAAAATGTCAAGTCTAGGGCAAGAGTATGAATGGAGGCCCCATACCATATATCTATATATTTAAGTTACAATCAAGCCAACAAACTGTTAAGTAAAATGCAGTCTCTCCTCCTACCTTGAAAAACACACTTTTTTGATGACTTGTGTGGAGGGGGAAGAAATTCTTCTACCCTTAAGGTTCTTATAGCTGGGCAGATCCAACAGAAATGAGACAGAGTAGCGAGAGAGAACAACCAACGTTAACGCACACGTATATGTATGGGGACCCCACGTGCTCGAGAATTTCGGAGAAAGAGAAAAATAGGTCCATACGACATCCTGAGCTAGGGATGAGGGGAGGCGAATGGGGGCTTCAGAGGCTCATCGCAGGGTGACAGGAAGGGCAGACGCTTTTAAGTCAAAGTTTATCCTGTTCTCCTGACCGGTCATAAGATGTTATTGCTGATACTCTTATTATAAGCAAGGCCTCTAACTCAGGTTCTTCAGGTTCTTCTCTGGGCAGTACAATTTGCATAACTCAGAGGCACATTTCAATATATCAAAATAATCAGTTCTAAGAGCTTAGAGTTTACATTCTTTTTGTACTAAGTCTTTGAAATTCAGTGTGTGTTTTATATGTAGAGAGCAGCCCAGTGTGGACTGGCCCCGCTTCACATGAGCAGTGGCCCCTAGTACCCACAGCACCCTCCTGGGCAGCGCAGATGTAGGGAAAGGGGCTCAGATGCCTCGTTCTGTGAGGGTGCTTGGCCCCTGGGAGGTCGGGCAGCTCTCCTCACTGGAAGGTCTGGTCGTGCTTTTGTCCTTGAGTTGCTGCAAAGAATAATTACCCGTCTTTACATTGAAAGCTGGTGTCCACTTTAAAATACAAAAGATACATACATAAAACTAATAGAAGATACTGGTTTAAGGGTTTGCTTTTTTTTTTCTTCTCCCATGTAAGCTTTTCAACCGCCTTTTACTCATTCTACCCACTACTGCTGTCCTTTGTTCTCAGGAGCCGTGCGGCCCTCGTAAATCTCTTTGTTTAGATGGATACACCTTTTCCCCCTGTTGCTTACACTTTTCCGAAAGTCTGTGCTTCCATTTCCCACCCGGAGGAATTCCTGGAAAGTCTTTGTACTTGTGGACGTAGGGAACATCCAGACCTGTAGGGATTTTCTGTAAGAGGTTCTGTGAGCCAAACCAATGGCAGTGCCGGGAAGAAAGGGCTCAGATGCTCCAGAGAACAGTTTGCAGTTTCTTTTGTGCATAAGAAGGGAGTGGAGGGCAGGTGACAGGAAGGTGGGAGAGAAGAAGGTTGGACTTGGATTACAGGAGAGTTCACAGTAATACGTGCTCTCTCGAGGCTGGCTAGGCTTCCGAGGGGCCTGAAAGGTGGGCATGTCAGCGGTGTGCTGACCTGGATGGTCACCAGCTGTGGGCAGGGCTTGCTGAAGGCAGAGATGAACCTTTACTGAAGAAGTTCCATTCCTGGGGCACGAGTGCCCATCGCGACCTGCCCAGGGAGGAATTTAGGATCAGATGGCCCCGTGGGGCCACTTCCCCTAGAGCTGCTTCTTCGTCCACGTACTGTGCTGTGTTGGATAATGTCTCCTGTCTTCCTTTCCTTGAGCAAGTTTTTTTAAAACCTCAGTTTAATTGCATGCATATTTTTTAACACTGTGACCAGTCCCACCAAATAGGGAAACATGCCTAGAAAGCAGGGTGCTCGTTTTGTTTGCACTGTAACAGTGGTTTCATGTATTTCAGGATAGAGCTGCCAGTTTTAGAGAGGAAAAAACAGCACCCAGAATTTCAGAAAAACAGCAAATGAAATATTTTTTAAGTATGTCATGTACAGTATTTGGGATGTACTTGCACTAAGAAATTACTTGGTTGTTACTGGAAATTCAAATGTAACTGGATGTTCTGTGTATCTGGTACACCGTTTTTGGAACTCCTTTACCTTCTCAAAAATCGAGGACCCCAAGCAGGTTTTAAGTATCAAATCTATTTATATTCACTATATCAGAAATCACACTGAGAAATAATTTACTGTAATTTAGAAAAATAGTAAACCCATTCTCACTAGCATAAATATATTGATAAAAACAGCTATTTTCTAAAACAAAAGAAACTGGGAGGAGAGTGTGGTCCTTTGGTGTTTTTATAGATCTTTCACGTCTGGCGTGTTAGAAGGTAGGCGGGGTTTTCCGTCTGTCTCAGCATCAGTCAGGCGTGTGTCGCGACAGCAGGTCGCACCTGGTACCCTCCGCTGGACGCTGCGATGAACGTGAGAGTAAGAAATGCAGGCGGCCTCGTAGTGTTGTCACGGAAAGAAGTTTGGGCTTGGGAATCTCCTATGAAGTTTAGGGGACCTCTTCTGGGGTCCCCTAACAGTATTTTGTGAACTCCTCCCCTAGGAATAACAGATCTTGTCATTCTAACTAGTGTTGTGTAGACAGACCATAGACAACCAGAACTGAGGATAAGTATTCTTTGTTTTAAGAAGGCCTAATGAATCAAATTGTAAAATATGAAACAAACTAAAAAAAATGATTATGTAGGTTTAGCAGTAATTCTTAAGTTTTATTTTCTTTAAAATACTATTAGGTCCGCACTCTGCCCTCTAAGAAAATGACTATTATGAAAAATCAAGGTAACACTTTCCACCTGTAAAATGGGCGCATGCCAGCTTTCTGTTTCGAATCAATTCTACGTGGCTGTTGACAGCAGAGCTTAATACTTTTTACTATAGACTTTAACAAATATATCATGTGACAGTTTCTTTAAAATGCTAGTTGGATTGAATTAGACTTATTTTTAAGATTATGTCTGTTCTAGGCATAGCATGCACTGCCTAGTGGGCATGGGCAGTTTCTAAAATAATTAGCACGATACACTAACTCATCTGAGTCTCATCTCAAAGAAGAAATACGGAAGTTGGCAGTGGGCCCGATACAGGATTTCACAGAGAAGTAAAACTTAATGAGTTTTACTTAATGGACAAGTGAGAAAGTGAAAGAGCCGTGAACAAAAATAAAACACGGGAAAGAGTTGGGCTGGGATGTGGCGGGCGATGGGTTAGAGAGAGTTGTTCATGAGCAGTAAATCGCTTCCCAGGGAAGACGGTGCTGCCTGACTGTGCGGTGGGGAGGAGGTGGGGAAGGAGAAAACGCACAGAAGGTTTGGAGGGGGCTGGGAGCGGCGGGGTCGGGGAGACCGGTGCGAGGGCGGGGCTGGCAGTACCACCTGTTCCTTTGGGCCTGAGCAGTGATGACTGGCACTTAAACTTGGGACTACAAAGTTGCCTGCCTTAGAGAGAGTGTAGTTCTTTTCATTTTAATTTCACATTTGGGTTAGAATGAAGCAGAAAAGCAGACGTGTCTGAGATAACCCAGAAATTCAGCAGATCTGCCTGGTTTTTTCCTCCCTCTCTGTTATCATTCACACGTGTGAATTAAGCTGGCTCAGGTAAAGCTAAAAAAATTCACTCGGCAGCGGACACCTCCCCAAATACTCAACCGTAGAGTGGTAAGTTTTTTGTTTTTGGTCTTTTCTCTGCAATGTTGATATTTTAGGTAAAACCCTGGCCCTTGAGTGCGAAGCTCTGCGTTCTAGCTCTGCTGGACTCCGTTGCTTCCTTAGGCGAATCTGAGTTTGGGCTGGGTTGTCTCTAAAGCTGTGCTCAAGTCATGTGAACTGACGCATCTGTGACCTTTGTCTTTTCTTTCCTTTTGTTTTGTTTTATTGTAATAGGTTCACCAAGTTGAAGAGTCTTAACCTTTCCAATAATCATTTAGGAGACTTCCCAATAGCGGTCTGCAGTATCCCCACCCTGACCGAGCTGAACGTGTCCGGCAACGCCCTCCGAGCCGTCCCTGCCGCTGTAGGAGTCATGCACAAGTGCGTACTGGAAACCCACCTCGGAGTGTCCCTCGGAAACTGGGGGGGTTGCATCAGGGCCACTGCACATGCGATTAGTTAACTTATGCTGGTCGTTTAAGCATTGGCCCCGAATCAAGGCTCTTGTGTAGGGTTCATTTGTTAGCTTTCATGCTTCTGAGTATCTTGTTACCAATTCGAACATCCCTGTTTAGAACTGAAGATCCCTACTGATGAGTGTGTCTGAGCATGAGGGGAGGGGTCACTCGCTCATTTTCTGGGTTATGTTGAATTCTGAGACTTAGACGTTCTCTTTTAAAAATAACAATGGAAGATGGGTATTTGGGCTGACTTCATCTCTGGCATTCACACTGCAATTAGCTCACATTGTTCCCATTTATGCCTATCCAAGTTGGGAAAATTGGTCATAATTTTTGTTTTCAATAAATGATTAAGATGTTTATCTCTGATCTTTTTTCTCTGGTATATTATTGCCTCAGGCCTGCCACCATTCATTTTGCAAAGGAAAGTACTTTTTTTTTTTTTTTTTAGTAATACGATCTGTACTTATGGAACTTGTATGTTGGTAATAAAGATATAAAACGTACACATTCTCTTTATAATTCTCATGTTTTCTTGAATAGCTTACAGACGTTTTTGTTGGATGGAAACTTCCTGCAGACCCTTCCTGCCGAGTTGGAGAACATGCATCAGCTTAGTTATCTTGGTCTTTCTTTCAATGAATTTGCTGACATTCCAGAGGTGTTAGAGAAACTGACCGCTGTGGACAGACTGTGCATGTCTGGGAACTGTCTGCAGGGCCTGAGGCTGCAGGCCTTACGAAGAACGCCCCACATTAAGCATGTGGATCTAAGGTAACCGTCTTACAGACGCACACCCCATGGCAGTGGCTGGCATCTGTGGGGGCTAGATGAGAGCCCTTGTGGTGACACTCTCCTGCCACGGGGAACGGGATAGGGAGTTGCAGTTAGGCCCCATTCTTCTATTTCTGCCCAGAGGGAAGAGTAGTGGTTAATACTGGGCTTTGGTCATACCTGGTATTTGCTTTTAAAAATTTCTCATTAATGAATGACCAGATGTATTGAAGGTTTTGCTTTGTTTTGTAGGTGTGAACCCAGTTTTAATTTGTATGAATAGATGGAGGCTGTTGGGGGAGTTATTTATGAAAATGAAACCGTATCACTAAGCAAAGTGAATCTGTTTCTCTTAGTTCTTTTCTGTGACTCGAGGCAGTTAACATCACTGAGCATATCTCCTTTCTTAAATTTCCTTCCTTGGCTTGTCTAAATGTAATATGTCCATTAAATTAGATTTCTTTATTCATGTAAACTTATGTTCATTATCTCTCTCTCCGTCCAGGTGGTTCTGCCTAGTTTACTAGTCTTTACAGAAATATAGAACTCATAATCTCTTGTTTGGCCCAAATTTAGCTAGAACTTCCCCACTCTCACCCCTTGCAAGAGCAGGGAACCTACAGTTCGAATCCCCATCACACTGAACTCCAGCTGGAAACCACTAACACAATCCTTGCTACATCAGAGAAAGTCATCCAGTAATCACCTCTTAGTACGTAAGGTTCAGTTCTGGTTTCCAGTGCAGAAAGGACCAGTATATAAGAATGTTCTTTGAAATTTCTCTATTTAAGGAAAAACGAAAGCCTACTATGGGATTGAATTACTACAAAAACAACTGTGAGGTTTAGGTTTTACTACTGACTTGCCCAGATTGATACTTTTTCACCCAAACTCACTTCCCCACTAGCTTGCGGTTTATGACCACATAATAGCCCTGTTTAGTCTTGGGTGAGATAGTTAATGTCTCTTTGCAACTGTGTTCTCCTCTCTAAATTACAGCTAATGGAACCTAATTCATGGAGCTTCAGAAAGAGTTGAGTTACAACTTCACCCTCCCAGCAAGTGTGACTGTGTTGTTATTGTTACCAGGCTGAGGCTGCTTCGCCACTCGCGGCGCCTGTCCTTCTTGGCTCTTTGCACCTTTCTGTTTGTCAGAAGTGGTTCTCTCCTTGCTTTACTGCCCACTGCTCTCTCTGGTGGTCACCCAGACCCTCACCCACACCTGTCGTGCTGTGCCAGTGTAAAGTAGCATCATCTTTTATTGTCTCCTCCATTCACGTGGTCTGGCCTAGCAAACCCAGTTCTTCTGTCTCACAAGCCTCTTGGGTTAGTTCCTTAGACCGAAGGAGTCAAGCCTGTCATTCCTGAGAAAGTGATAGCAAATTTGCAGGCCAGAATTCTTAATTCAGGGAATACGTGGTTGTAATTTACATGGCTTTGAGAACTTTTGGAATTGACAAGTGAGAGAACTGAACACTTTATCTTATTAACTTTCTTTCTAAATTGTTAACATTACTGGCTTCTGAGTCACTTGGATTTTAAAAAACCTTCATATTCAAGATTTTAAGGCCTTTTTTATTCAGCCACTCAGCAGTATAACAGTGGTCCTACTGACTTCATGTAACAAGCATGAGAGGATTTCTGAGTTACTTGGTTGATACATATAATAAAATATTTTTCTTGAGCTGAATTAGCTTACCAATAAGATCATTCTAATATGTCTAGAAGTAACTGTTCTTATTGAGAGCTTTATAAAATCTTCAGACTTCTAGTTTTAATTAGGTCTATTTAGATTAGATCAGTTATAGTATATTTAAATGCCAGAATATTCTTTGGCCATTGTTAATGTTGAGTGATCTTCAATAGATAACTGCTTCTTATTAGGCCACCGATCGAAGGAGAGGAAATTGGTTAGATTAGCTTATAATTCTGCCTTAATAGGAATAAATTAAAACAAGTTTCAGTTAGTTTCTGTAAGCAAAGGGTGAATTGTATTGATTCATTTTTTTATTCCTTCAGATAGAAATGTTATGTCAGATTAAAAGTGATCACTTTAAGTCTTTTAAAAAATCTTTTACTTAATTGTTTTTACAGAGAGAGAGAGATAGGGGGAGAGAGATAAACATGAGTTTGTTGTTCCACTTATTTATATATTCCTTGGTTGATTTTCTGTGTACCCTGACCAGGGATCGAACCTGCAGCCTTGGAAAATTGCGACAACACTCTAGCCAACTGAGCTAGCTGGCTGGGACCTTAATCTTGTTCTTTTTCTTGGGCTGGTGTTCTTTGAGTCTCATGTTATTTCTTCTATGGCATCATTAATAATTCCTCCGTCTTGTCTCTGTCGAAAATATGGGTATTACCCATGTCTCTCTCCTTGATCACTTCTCGTTCTGTTTTCTGTCTTGTGGTGGCCTGCTGTTGGGGCTTCATTGCTCACCTTTCATCTCCTTGCTAATTATTTCCCTAAGTCTTACTTCTCCTCTTGGAACTAATTCTGCTTCACCTGCAAACTGGGTAATATCACCTGGGTTTTCCCTGCCGATACATGTAACCGGGCACGTGTTCAGTTTCTTCTCATTCAGCCAGCGCTTTCCCCTGGGCTCCTGTCTGCTGCCCGCAGCACCGCTTCGCTGGTTATGCAGACTCTAAACTGCCACCCTGTTTCTCGTTTACCACCAGGTTCTCTCAGTTCCTCTTTCACCGTAGTTTCTCCCCCAGCCCCTTCCCTTTGCTTCTCACTGCTGCTCTTGTCTCCTGGCCGAGCCATCTGATGCCGTCATGCCGCCTCTCCAGCAAGCACAGCCTTGCTCCGAGCCTTCAGCTCTCCGGTTGGGGCATTCAGGCTCTCGTGTCCGGTTTCCCCTCGGCGGGCTGTGAGTTCCTTAATGAGGAGGCTCTTGCTCAGAGCTGCACGAAGTGTGGTCCTCCATCCTGTGCTGTCAGGCCAGCTGTTCGCCACTTTTCCACAGCGAGATACGCATAGAATTTGAGACTTCATATTTTAGAAACAGCGATTCAACGTTGCCGCACTATCCAAATAGGCTCGTGCAAGTAGAACGCCCACTGGAGGGGAACCCGCATGGTGAGCCGCTTGTGGTGTGACCCGTGTGCCGGTCATGTGCACTGTGACTGCACACCAGTCTGTGATGCCAGAAGTTTAGAAAGTGGGTCCCTCGCCCACATAGATAACCTGGGAAGCGCTGCTCGTCTTGATCCTTGACCCCCCTGTGTTAGATGTAGTACTTGATACATATTAGTGGACCAGCCCTCGGAGAGCCATATTCTCCTCTCACACGCCCTGCCCTGTTCACGCATGTGCTGACCTGCGCCCTTCCCTTCGGTCCAGCGGCCATCTGGCTGCTTCCCCAGACGGTTTTCTTCTCCCACGTACGCCTTTCCCATTCTGCTTGCCCCGGACTCAGCTGAGACGTGTCCTCTCCCATGACATCTTTTTTAACTGGTTTCTGTGTTTTGTCCATCATTTGTATAGCACTCATCACTGTTTCTAGTCCGAATACTTTATTTATGAAAGCACATGTGATCTTTCCTCATGAAATTTCAAAATCTATAGAAAAACACCTCGTTTTATTAATTTCTTGTCAAGTCAAAGCCATTGGGCATTGTCACCATAGCCTGTAACTGTTCCAGAGTAATGCTCAATGAATATTTATGAAAGTGACAAAATGGCTGTGTTAATTGAGGGGGTTATTGGAAGGAAACTTGAACCATATTTTGCGTCTTTAAAAGTTCATCCTAAATAGTTGCATTATTGTATGATTTTGATATTTGAATCCTGGTAAGACTTGGCAACTTAAACCAAACAGTGTAAATGTTAACTTCCTTTTCATTATAATTTGTTTGGTCTCATTAAACCAACCCTCGAATTATTTTAGTGTTAATACATTGAAATTGTGGGGGTAGCAAGTTCAAATGAAGATGATAACGCCACACTGCAAAGACCATATAAAGTGTAGAATAGGGAGGACAGGGGACATGTTGCCAATTCTTGCAGTCTTTTATATCCAAAATGAGATTTGCTTTTTCTTTTTACTGTGCATGCATTTTCTAGAATCAAGTGAGCATTTGGAAATAGTCAGATAGCTGGGTCGAGGCCAGTTTTTTAATCTTACAACCTGTAATGAAAGAGAAGAGGAGCCAAAAGCTGCTCTTGGGGACATTGGAAGAAGCCATGTGCCACACTTGCGGGTCGACAAGTCCTAGCCCTTCATTGTCACTCATCCTGGAGTGTTAATGGCTTTCTGCTGTTGCTATTAATAATTCAGTTGCCATCATTTTATTTTAGTTTTGAAAGGTCAGAAATACATAACAGAACGTTTGGCTTTTTTCTAAGCTCTGGCTTTCGCATTAGTGTTCTTACAACCCAAGTGCGTGGTCTCGGCGTCTCGTTGGCCTTGTGATGAGAAGTAGACTGTTCTTGTTGTTTGTGAAGAAGTTGAGCCCAGCAGACTGGGGGTCAAGACTTCATTTGTTCTTCTCCCCTGGGAAGCTGAACATGTCTTTGTTGTATCGGTGTCCAGTCCCTGCTCCTCCTCACTTAACCTCTTGGTGGCCCCTCCGCAGCAGCGCCAGCCCCCCGCTACCTGGTTCTCGTGCTGGAGCTCTGCCAGCTTTTCCCCCTGCCCCACTCAGGCCTGGACTCGTTGCTCCTCGTCGTTGTCCTTCGTTTTATAGTTTCTCAGTGCATTCTAGATGCCAGGTTTTAGTATTTCCTGCACGCTGCTCTTTCAAAGCAGTGTTTTAAAGATGGAGATGAACAGTTCTGGGTTTTGAGCCTGTCAGAACCAGATACTTTCATTCCTGTCTCTGGTGCATATGTGGCTACCATTTGCACATGTGTCTTTCATGGCCACACATCTGCCTGCCTACTTGTCCTCTCTCCTTCCATAAATAGTCAACGCAGTCGTAATCTGCTTCTTGTATTTTTGACCATATTCTTTCAAAATAAATACATAAATAGACTTTTTTTCCCTCTTCAGATGAACTCAGGTAAAATCAGTACACATGCTCCTCCTCCAGGCTTAGGGGTTGTAGCTAAAAATAGCCAAAGAATCTGACCAGTTAAGGAAGGCCAGCGGCTGCGATGGAAGAAGACTTGCAGGACTGTAATGCAGTGAGACTTGATTCCCTTCTCCATATCTGGCCATGTTAGGGTACAGCGATTTATTTCGTTAACTGTAGCCTCTTTCTGTGTCCTTTTTCTCTCAAGACTGAACAAAATTAGGAAGCTAATAGCAGACGAAGTAGACTTTCTCCAGCACGTCACTCAGCTTGATCTGCGCGACAATAAGCTTGGTGATCTGGATGCCATGATCTTCAACAACATTGAAGTTTTACACTGTGAAAGGAATCAGCTGGTGACACTGAACATCTGCGGCTATTTCCTAAAAGCGCTCTATGCCTCTTCTAATGGTAAGTGACAGAGACGGCATCAAAGCTGCGCGGCTGGCTCCAGAGTTTGTTCATGCCATCGTCTTCACCGGGTTTGATGGTTCTTTCCTTGTTTAGTAAAATGTGTCAAATTTTGCTAAGATAAAAATCATAAAAGAAGAATTCTGATTTGCTACTTAAAGGAATCCGAAAGGGGGATTTTATAGTTCCTAACTTGTTTTTCTCATGTTGTGATTACTTAGATAAGTTACTCCCACTTTTGATTTGACACCTCTGCTTGAAGAAAGAGTATAGGGAGGGCAAACAGTTTCTTGGGCTGCCTTGTTAATAACAGTAAATCTGGAACCTTGATTTAATCCTGGAGAGCGAATGTGAAAGGATCCATCTTGGATTTCATTCAGGTCCTCAGATTTTCTGCTCCACTGACAAAGGGACTCACCGTGAGGGAAACCTTACTTACAGACCCTAGGGACACCACCAAGCCAGAGTCCTACTCATTTATTAAGCTCTCTGTCTTAGAACTTGGAGATCATGGCTATTGGTGATATGGGCATGTTTGCTCCTGTGAAGGTGGAGTTCTTGTTGGCAGGAATGGAGAGTATTCCCAAGTTAAACAGATGTTAAACAAGCAGCTGTTGCATGCATAGTGCGGTGTTTGGGTTCTGAAGGGTAAAGGATTTCTTAAAAATGAGTTTACGGCCATCTCCCTGGAGAAATAAGCCAGAGCTTAAATAGTTGTAGGTCCCTGAAGGGTCACAGGTTTGGACAGCCAAGGGCACAATGCGGGTGTTGGGAAAGAAAGACTTGGAATGTGGTTTGCTTGGCAGGTGGAGGAAGACAAGGATTCTGAACTGCAGGTGCTTGCTGGGGAGTAAGAAGTAATTATGGTACGCATGGCGAGGCTTTGAAGAGGCATGTGACAGATGGGATGCTAAAAGACCGTACATGACAGTCGTGTGCAGAGTGCATGCTGGGAGAGGAGTGGGGCCACCCCATCCCCCGCTAAATCCAGGTTATTGCAGTGGTCTTCATGTGAGCTGATCATGTGCCGTCAGGAGTACAGGTGTTGATTTGGGACTCTGAGATTATACCTGAAACCATGGAAGTGAGGCAACTGGAAAGAGAACGTAACAAAAGCAGACTTACAAACCCTCCTAGGTAGCTGGTACCAGAGTGGGCAACCAGGTAGGACCTGACTCTGATTAGAAACTACCCTGTCCCAGAGACAAAGCTCTAGGTGGACCGTGATGTCCTGTTTTAACCAGTTTTGAGGAGGGGTTCTCAGATTTGAGTAGGGAGAGTCATTCCAACCCTCAGGAGCGCTGTTTCAGTAGAGTGAAAAAGGCAAAAGCCAGGTTGCATTTGGTTTTATAAAAAGGAACAGTGAATGTTTAAAAAAAAAACAACAGTATTTATATAGTTCATCTTCCAGATAAAATTTAGCATGCCTAACAAGGAGAGCCACAATAAGTGGATGGGAAAGAGGTAGGAAAGTAGAACAAGGGATTTATTTTCGACTCTGAGCAAGGTCTTGTGATTGAATTAGAAGCTGCGTGCCCTTCCCTGTAGTTCCGGAGGAGAACAGATGGATGCATTGTACTTCCTAACCTAAACAAGCAGCGGGGAGTCAGCCCAGGGACGACATTCTGCACACACAGAGTCTCTGTGTCTCTTGAATGGTAACGCTTTTGTGGTTTTTTTTCCGCCTTCTAGAACTTGTTCAACTTGATGTTTACCCAGTTCCGAATTATCTGTCGTACTTGGACGTTTCCAGGTAAGAAGCCAAGTCCTAGGGTGCTGTACCGTCTGCTTGAAAATTTCTTAGATAATTCTGACTGAGCATAGGCATAAAGAACTTATTCTATACTTTGAAGTACTTTAATTTAATAATTTTAACTTACCCTCTGAAAACGTGCATGAGTATCTGTCAGTTAAAACGCTGCACTTGTATATTGTAGTTCAAACAGCAGAGTCAAGGTGTTATGTTGGCATGGACTCCAGTTTGAACACCAGGCTTGGGTTTGGAGGATCAGTGGATTGGAAGGTTCCGTAGCTCTTTAATTACATTAACCACATTGTCGTGTCTTTCCCTGAACTGGTGTTGATTTCATGAACAAATATTGTGCTGTATTTCTTGGATTTTCCCCTCTTCCTCTTTGTTATTTTGTACATACATCTCCTAGCTAAGAACCCTGGGAAAGTAGCCACCAAAGTAGCCTGCCAGTCCTTACTGAAGCAAGCGTGGTAAGGCTTCCCATCAGCCTGCTCGCCTTTCTCAGCTCTTTCCTGAGTAGCCGCCCGGCTCCTTTCATGCAGACTCACTGCGGTAGAGCGTCAGTCACGCCAGTTCCCAAACATATTACGGTAGACTTTTTCCTGAAGACATAAAGCATGTATTTGCACAAACTAAACTTTAATAATCTTAACACACTAACACTGAACTCACTTTTAATGTACTTCCGAATGAAATACCCCAAGTTTTCTGATCAGCCACAGTACTTGGGAGGATGTGGTCCCCTCACAGTGCCACTGTTAACGCATCTCAGTGTGCGAATCACACGTGTTAATAATGTCCTCAGTCATAATTATGTAAGAATGTCAGAATTTAGCTATTGTGAGAATTGTTACAGTTATAGATTTATTAGAAATTTATCATTATAAAATCTTTTATGAGTAGTGCTTCCTACACTTCCTGCTGAGTTCATGTCAGATGATGTTGTTCACTGTGCTTGAGTCAGATATTACCTGACCGAGTTATTTATTTGTTTTCCTGTTGGCCTTGGTTGTTATCCTCAGTTTTTAAAATAAGAACAGTACTGGAGCATTGGCCATGGAGTGAATTTACTTTCCCTTTATTTGTTGCGTGTAGTTGGCTAGTGGTTCCATCATGTATTTACTAGGCACTTCGAGGTCCTCAGGTTCAGAGTCCCACACTCACAAGAGTTTTATTGCATATTGAGGTTGATTTTAGTGAGAGGTACTTTCACTCCCCTATTTTACCGAGATGTGTTAGAGGTTCATTGCTATAAAATGAAATTAATAAGTGTATCAATCTTTAGGGTTCTAAAGCCAGAACTGTATGTGCCTATATAGACACTAAGCAGAAAATAATGTATTGTTTTGTATATTTTAATTGAAAAGTCAATATAATAGTGAAGAACATGAACTTTAAATCACACATAATGCTACCACCCTAATATTACAACTATTTTCACTTTTGCTCTAATATAATTCTCATCCCAAGCATCATATTTTTACAGAATTGCCTCTCTGTTTTTAAAGCATTATAGCTATAACATATTACACACCATTTTAGATTCTTTGTGCCTGGTCATTTTACATATTTAAAAGAAAGATAAGAGGCTGAACTAAACACCTGTGATTAGAGAGACATTCCAATATAGTAGATTTGTGGAAGGAGGGGTCAATTTGTGTAATAATTAAAGCCACAGTTAGTTTAGGTCACTTGCTTCTGGTAATTACAGTTACCACCTCGTGCCTCTGTAAATGTTTTTGGATAGTGAATTCTGAGCCGTGAGAGCCAGTGTGTCTTTGCTCTGATGCCCTTTCCCCCCTTCTCTGTGCTTGCATGATGCCCACGGGGGCTGAGAATTGTTTCAGTCTTAGGAGTAAAAATGCAAATTGGAAAATGAAGCCATTTTATGCCGTTTGACTCTTTGACTTAACTGGAAGTGTATGCTTGTTTGTTCCCGTGTAAGACCTCCTCTCCCTAAACTGCATGGGTTTACAGTCTTTTTAGGACGGCAGTTCTGGGAGCCAGACTTAAAAAAAAAAAAGACTGTGGAGAGGATGTAACTGTGTCCTTTCCCACCTTTTCTTTGCTTTATATTCCTTATCAAAATCTTACTTCTATGTTAAAGTGAATACATGTATGCTTTTGATTTATATTCACTGTATTTGGGGATTTCATTGACGTTTTATTTATTCTGTGTAATTATTTTGAGTTTCAAACTGTATTTTAGGCCACATTCCAATCAAAGAAAAAATTGTATATTCTTACATTTAGGAACTGCTTGGAAAATGTGCCTGAGTGGGTGTGTGAAAGCCGAAAGCTAGAAGTTTTGGATATTGGCCATAATCGAATATGTGAACTCCCTGCACGGTGAGTATTAACCACAGATTCGATACGCAGGTGTAAAAATCAGTGATTCAGTGTCGAACTTGTTATTAGGAACCCCTAAAAGTGTTACGTGCGTGTGCTTTTTCCTTTCTATTGAGTTTATTGGGGTGACAGTGGATAACAAAATTACCCTGTTTCTGGTGCACAGTTCCACAACTCATCACCACCCGGAGTCAGGTCTCCTTTCGTCACCATTTATCCTCCCAAGTTGTCCTCTACCCCTCCCAAAAGAGCTTTGCTGCGGCTCATTTGGTTGGAGTGTTGTTCCATGACCAGAGGGTTGCAGGTTCAATTCCCAGTCAGGGCACATACCTGAGTTACAAGGTTTGGTCTCCAGTCTGCACATACGATCCCATTCCAGGCATGTGCGATTCCCAGTCTGGGCACAGATCTCTCTTCCTCTCTCTCTAGAAAGCAATGGGAGAATGTCCTCAGGTAAGGATGAAAAAATACAAAAAATACATTTAAATACATATTATTTTTAAATACATTTAAAAATACATTTTAAAAAGTTTTTTTTAAACCTTACTTTTTAAAACCTAGTATTTATTATCTTTACCTCACGTAGTGTCTCTGAGTTACAAACTTTCCTTAGGCAGTGAAGAGTGATAGGAAGCTTCGACTCTCTGCTACACTTTTCAAATGAATGTAGTGGATGGTTCCTGGTGGAAATTTTTAAATAAGCCAAAAGGAAATGTTCAGAGACTCAGCAAACAGTACGATTGGTTTGCCTGTGTAATCTTAATTCTTTCCAAATCCTCCCCTTTGGCCCATTAACTTGACATGTCTGCCTTACCCACAAATAATATTTGGTTTTCCTTGAGCATAACTTCGGGGGAGAAAAGATTATTACATCCTTAAACCTAGAAAGGGCAAACTGGATCCTTTTTTATTTTATAACTTTTACTTTAATGCCAAGATTTCTACATCAGCCATATGATGACATCTAATATCCACAGACACAGACATCTTTGCGTTGATTGTGACACGAAGTATTTTTCGACCATTAGTGACTGGCCCTGAAGTTCATGACCAGAAGAGGAGTCCGTCCTCGTGCTGGCCTGTGGGACTTCCTGTGATGATGGGGATGTTCCGCACCTGTGCTGTCCAAGTGGTCCACTAGCCACGTGTGACGTTTGAGCACTTGAAATGTGGCTGCTGTGCCTAAGGAGCTGAATTTTAACTTTTACTTAATCTTCATTACTTTAAATTTAAATAGCCATTTGTGACTGTTGGCTGCCATGACTAGGGTCTAGCTGTTCGAACCATTCCCAGCCAGTCATGGGGCAAAAGAAGCCACTTGTTTCTGATAGTGCATACTCAACAATACCAGTGAAAATACTGTAGAAATATGCCACTATTTTGGAGTTAAATTTTACTTTAGGTGCATGATCTTTAAAGGCATATGACCGATGTCCCTCTGTTCTTCTGTAAAGAACAAAGATCGTGAACTGTACATGCTTGGTCAGCCTAGTAAATGTGTTGGAGTTTAGCTATTTGATATGGTAGCTGCTGGCCATTAGCCAAGAGTCTGTTGAGCAATTGAAAAGTGGTTAGTCCTAATTGAGAAGTGCTGAAGTCAAAAATATGCACTGGATGCAAAATAGCTCAATAATGTTGTACGTTAGTTACATTTTAAAATAATATTTGGGGTATATTGGGTCAAATAAAAAGTAATGTAAGAACTAATTTACCTGTTTCTTTCTACTTTTAATTTTAAATTACATATGCAGCCCACATTAGATTCCTGTTGACTGAAACTGGCAGAATGTGGTTCTCATAAAGAAAGTCTGGGTTTATGTTTTCAGTCCCTAGAAAGCCCAGCTTGGGCGACTTTCTCGACTGTACGTTTGTTGTACCTGTAAGTCCAGTGTACGCTGACTGAGCATTTCGGGGACACGGTGTGCGCAGCCCATCACCAGCAGAAGGCTTGGGGCTGTGCCCGGTGCCGGCACTGTGTGTGGGGCGGGGGTGCTCAGGAGACAAGCAGCAAAGAGGAGTACAGGCTACTGCTAAGTAGGGAAGCGCTGTGATGGAAACATTCCTGCGTATCTGCTTTTCTGTTTGCTCCGTGCTGTTCGCCGCTGCAGCCTCCCTAGGGCCTCAGACACAGTACCTGGGAGTCTAAAGCCTTTGCTTCGCTGCGGGCTGCAGCGAAGATGCTGTGTGCATGTACCAACAAGTAAACAATAAATGCAGGTGACTGGCATTTCACCTCATTTTCCCCCAGAGCCAGTCTCTGATTGGTTCTGCGTTAGAACAGGCCTTTTGGGGGATCTAAACAAATGCTTATTCAAAGCAAATCCCAAAATGCTGTATTGTCAAGGAATTTAAACAGTGTCCGTTTTTGTGTGTGTGGTGGGACAAAAGCAGTGCATTGTTTTGTTCTCGTGTACGGTGGCGTTTAGTCGTGGACTTTGTATTAGCCCAGCATTGATCTGACATTCCAGGCAGGACAGTGAGTCATTGGAATTTGATTAGTGTTCATGCTTTGTTTTCCTCAGTGGTGCGTGTAAAGGATTTGACAAAACAAAAGTTAGTATTTCGAAGTGGAAATGTGTTAAAATGAAAAGAAGGTGTTTTGTGCTTAGTGTCCAAAAGAATTGAGCCAAATTCAGTAAGTAGCATTTAATACTCATTCTGCAGCTATCAAATCTACTTTTTTATTTGGAAAAATCAGAATAAACAATTTGTCACCTGTCTTTCAGTTACCTGTCTATTCAAGGGTAAAGTGTGTGTGTGTGTGTGTGCGCGTGTGTGTAAATAATAAATAACCCAATTCTAAATTGCAGCACAAGCCAAGCAAGGCAGTAAAATTGGTGAAGCCAATCCTGAATTATCCGGTTGAAGTGACCGTTACAGAGACCTTGTGTTAACTGTGACTGAATGACAGTCCTGGACAATCTGTCTTGTCACATTGGTGTCTAAACCTGCCAAGCCAGGCCTGTTAAATATTGTTAGTGTTGACTCGCATTGTCACAGTGCTGAAACGGGTTCTGGCATCTCCGTGAGCACAGAATCTCGTTTTGATGCTGAAAGTGAGTAAGGATACAGCTGGAACGTAGAGTGACTTTAACAGCTTCGGGTGGCGGTGGGAGAGGGAGCCTTGCTCTTAGCGGCGTGAATGCATCCTCACTGTACCGCAGTGCTGGGCCCCTTGTAACCCCAGTTCCCCACACTTCCCAGATTTCTGTGTTTAAACCCAGAGTTCATTTTATTCTGTACAGCTGTTGAAGGCCCCAGTGGTCATAGAGTGGACCTCCATGCAGGTCTGATAGCCTCCGGAAGAAGCACAGCCAAGCTTCTGAAGAGCTCTTTAAGGCTCAGCAGAGAATAGTGGATGAAGTGCATTCTGTTCTCTTCAAGGGAGAGTGTCTACTGTGGTCTAGCATTAGACCAAAGAGAAAGCAAAAACGTACAGTCGTAGGGAAGTGGGGAAAGGGCGAACTAATTGATTGTGAAATGCAGAGGAGGAAAATGTAACATTTTTTCAGTTGGCATTTGTAAAAGATTAATTAGATAGACTAACCCTTTATGGAACATTGATCCTGTGAGATAAAAACTGCTTGACTGCATTTATTTAGAATCTGTTGTAAGTAAGACATCCTGTGTTTCACAGTGACACAGGACACAAGCCCTGCCTTCAGCAGCCCACACCTTTCGATGCTTGCCATGTGCACCTCAGATTAGACTGCTGTCTTCAGAATCTTCTCCTAAGAAACCTGTCTTACTCATTTGCTAAGTAGCTTCTTTGTGAACTATTCCTTCTCATAGTTTTTCTCACTTTGTTTTTTCGAAAGTATGGGAAATGTTGAAATATGACCAGCTCCAAGTTGGAGCTTCTGGTAAAATGAATTTGCAGTTGCTGTGAATGAATTTGTGTGTTTTGGAGAGATCATTGCCAGTATTCTCCTACTCCTGTTGGTTTTTTCATCTTTATCCCAGATGAGCTCTAAGTAAGTTTCCTTTTTCTGTCCCTGTTGGCACAGCCTGTTCTGTAACAGCAGTCTCCGGAAGCTGCTGGCGGGGCACAACCAGCTGGCGCGGCTGCCCGAGCGGCTGGAGAGCACCTCCGTGGAGGTGCTGGACGTGCAGCACAACCTGCTCCTGGAGCTGCCGCCCAGCCTTCTGATGAAGGCCGACAGGTAAGGAAGGCGCCCTTGGTTGGGTGATGCGTCCTGCTGTAAACGGCCCCTCGTTAGCATTCTTGTCTCGTGACCTGGGGCATTCGTGTGGACGTTTGGAGTGTCTGTCTCTCTGAATCTATGAAGAAAATGGCTTGCCATCCACTCCTCTGGCCTGGCCATGTTGTGGGGGTAGAGTGGGGAATCGCTTCTAGAGACTTCATTAATTTCACTGCCCTCTGGAGAGAAGTGGGTGGGTGGAGATGCTCAAGGACGAGAAGCTGGCTGACTCTTCAGAACGATGCCGGCTGCTCAAGCTAACCTTAATTATCGTGTGAGTCTCCGTTCTGGCTGTCACACGTTTGTGACTCTGCGTGAGAGTCAAGGCAAGTAGGCTTGCCTTGAGTTGGCTTAGTTCTCTGGTTGTTTGGGTTTTGGGGTTTTTTTTAGCCAGTTCTTATCTTTACCATAGTTTTTCCCTCACATTAAATTTACTTTTTTTTTAAACAGAATTTTCCTAACTTTGTTTCTCTAAGTATTTAAAGAAATTACCTTGATTTGAGGAGGAGGCTGGTGCTCTCAGGCAGAGAGGATTATGAAGGGGGCGGGTAAATCAGTTCTATTTCCAACAACGTTCCTGTGTTATCTCACTTGTCAGAAGACAAGAAAAACAACCTTTTATGACTATCTCCAAACTATTCATGGCTTCTTAAAGTGTTAATACTTCTACTTTCTCCCCTTTTCAAAACCTAAATTATCGAGGTTTTATTTACCTAAATTAAAATACACACACACATGACTTAGATTCCGGAAAATGTAGAGACACTGCATAGTTGGTTTGTTGAATTCGGAGGAAGGAGCACACTAGTGCTGACGATCGTAGGAGTGGGTCAGCCCAGAAAACACGAAGTTCAAGTATTGCAGAGGGTCTGGAAGCTTCCAGGGCACTGCCAGGGAAACACGCACTGCTGGACACAGCAGAAGACTCTTTCTCGGGGGTTTTCTGTTACTCTGGATCTTGGCTGCTAAAACCAGTACCTCGGGTTGAGTCACGTGTACAGTCTGTTAAAGGCTGTGGCTTCAGAACGGGTGGCGGGGAATTGTGTTCGGAAACCAAACAGGAGCAAGGAGTCTCCTCTGAATTGATGGCATTTGCACGTCTCTCCACTTCCCTCTGAAAGCTGCAGACCAGTTTTATTAAAATCCCTAGGACTTAAATCAGGGATTTCAGTTTATGGATTTACTCTCCATGTTCATCTTTGAGTTTCGTTTTAACTTGCTTTTTACTGGCAAGTTAAAAATGTAGATAGATGTGCAGTATGATAGGGCGTATGTTGCTGAAAGGTTGACTTTGCATTTGATCTTATGACCAGATTGGGATCTGGTTCTGTGGGGGAACGGACAGACAGGCTAATCTGGATCTTACTGGCCTCGGTCTCTCCTCTTACCTCTGTTTGCTTAGAATTAAAGGTTTTCTTGATGGAAACCCCCCAAAGAATTTCAGATAATCAGTTTTCATCAACAGATGGGCAGGCGTGGGGGCTGATATTCCCCAGGGGTCGCCGGAGTGGATGGAGGAGGTATTGCCATCCTTCTGTTCTTCCCGAAATCTTGGCACTGACTTCGTATCCATCTTGCGTCTGTACACGCATTTGATGGCCAGAGAGCAGCTCCGGATGAGCTCACTCAAATGAACAGAGTCCCCTTAAAGGAGAGGCACAGGTTCCCCTTGTGGGACGATATTAGCATCTGTTTTTCTCCCGGTTAGAACAGTGCAGGGCATTTTCGGGGGTGGTTGGGGATGGGGGGGCTGCACAAATGAAGTACGTGCTAATTAATAGATATCCCCAGAGTATTAGTCACTTTACAGATCGTGAGTTTCAGTGACTCAGACAGAACATGTGTAAATATCAAGGGCCCTAAAAGGGAACAGCAGATTTGGGAGAGCATGATTGATTGACTGTGAAAACTGGTGCCTTTTGGCAAAGATAGGTATTTCCGGCATTTTGAAGAGCTATGTGGCCTAAACGTTTTTGTTTTTGTTTTTAAAGCTGTCTTGTGAAGGTCTAATTTTTTGAGAGCCACAGTAGAATAAAACAATGTTTCTCAAAACGTGTTTTTAGAATCCTCTAGATTACTTACTAAACATGCAGCTTCCTGGCCCTTACCGCTCTCCCACTGGCTCACCTGGCCAGTCACCAGGATTTGTATTTCTCTAGATTTTGAGACCTTCCCCTGACCTACCTAATATGACTGTCTGGGGGGCTGAAGTTGGGAATCGCGTGCCTTCTGCAAGGCAGGCACAGTCACTTCTGGGTGTTTTTGCCAAACCATCACCTTACTCTAGTGGTGATAAAACCTAAATCGAAAGATACTCTACAAAACAGCGGCCTGATACTTTTCAAATGTGTCAAGGTCACTTGAGACAGACAAGGCTGATTAGAGGAGACTAAGAGGGCATGAAAATGAAATGCCACCTGGGTCCCTGGATCGGATCCTGGACCAGATAGAGGATGTCATTGGAATAATGGAAGAAATTAGGATATGGTCTTAAACAATTATACATCATTTTTGAAATTATTTTTTCAAGTTCTTCTCAAACAATTCTTATATTTGTATAACTTTTGTTCCTTTGTGTTACTGCCATGATCCTTATTGCCCAAGCCAGGCAGATATTCAGACCTTCCAAAATAACAGTCAGCAGACTTGCTGGACTGGCATTCACACATCCTTCACTTGCCATCCCCACCATTAGGTGGTGTTCCGAGATGATCGGTAACGGGGCTTCTTTTTCAAACTCGTTAGTGGAGTACAACATGTAATCTACCAGCAGTTAAAAAGATTAAATAGGATAGAAAATAGCTGTGTAAGAGTGAAGTTGAACATAGTTTCGTGAGACTTTGGTTTCAGTCCACATACACGTTTGGCGTGTGCGCTGTGCTGGTCATGGAGTCTGCGTTTCGTGCTCTTGGTCGCCATCAGAACAAATGGGAAAGCCCTTGCTTTTAAGAGCTGTCGGCCTTATGAAATGGATGAACTTGTCAGAAGGGCTGTGCTGTAAAAGACGGTTGAACTGGAGGTGGCGGGCACACAGCAGTACAGTATGCAGGCCTCGTATTGTAGAATTGTATACTTGAAACCTCTGTGATTCTATTAACCAAAGCTAGACCAATACATTTATTAAAAATTAAAGAAAAAAGACAAGTGGTAGGGAATTCAGATTGTTTTTGCTTGACATTTCTGGAACATTTTGGGGCCAAAATAAAAATAGAAGAGTTTTGCTGGGCTTAGAACCTTAACCTTTTGTGTCTTTAGTAGACTGCAAGTCCCAGTACAGATCTCCTGGAAAAAACACTTAAACGCAGAGTACCTGGTATGCCTACAGATAGGTTACTCTGTTGTACCAAATCCAGTGCTTCGTTTCAGGGATAGTTTGGCTGTAAAATTTACGGGTATGCTGGAAATTACTAAAAAGCAATTAAAAACAAAACCAAAGAAAAAAACTAGAAGAACCAGAGATGGACAGAATGTGCCAAGGGAAGAACAGAATTATTGCTCAAGAAGCAAGGAGTGGATTTATCTCACTGTTCTTGTGGGCAGCTTCCCAAGTGCATTAGGGTAGGAGCCGTGCATGGGTGGCTTTTCTCTGCAGCTTTTGCACTTCTGCTGAGGAAAGTTTTTGAGCACTGTGCTCTTTATGAAGTTACTTTAAGAATTGAGTTTGAAGTGTGGCTCCTGTGTGGTCTTCCTGCTACCCAGCGGGCATCCTGCTTGACCTCCAGCTTTTTTGGAGAGAAGGGGCTGTAAAAATGTCCTCGGGAAAATGTTTTATTATCATTATTTGAACCATTTGAATTCTGGAGAGGCCTGTTAGGGAATAGGGAATAGTGAACTGTCCAGGTCTGCGTTTTATTTCTGGCTCTGTCACTAATTACTTCATTGCCCAGCAGTGCGACTTTTCTCAGCTCCGGTTTCTGTCCTCTGTGAAGTGGGCGGGGCCCATCTCCAGGAAAATGGGAGAGTCAAATGAAATAGAAAATAGGAACGAGCTGTGGTTTCTAGAAAGCACATTGCACATGAGAGGAAAGCGGTGATATGGTGCTCCTTCTAATTAGAGCAAGAGGGTTGCATAGTGAGGGTTGTATGGGTGAGCTGTCTCTTGGCGCGTGAAATGGCATTTTATGCAAAAATCTGTAAGAAGAAGCTTAATGAGGTTATCACATCCTGTTGAGGTTGAGGCCAAATTCAGTGCTTTAGGATTTTAGTTGAAAGCAGGTTGTGGAGTTGTATACCCTATATATTGAGTCAAACTATTAAATTTTGCAAAATCAAAGTAGCTGTTCATTCTGGTGGAAATACAACACCTACGTGAAACCCATTTAATTTGCGTCATGAGACGTTGTAAGGTTGTGGGACAAGTGTTTTCTGTTTAGGAGAATGAGTACTGAATTTAATTTTCCTGAGACCGTTATAATAAAAAATCTTTTTAGCCTGGTTATTTGCTTTCTGCCCATTGACTAACAAGGTGACTCGGTCAGTCAGGCTTTATTCAGTACGAATGAAACCCTTTGGAACCAGCCAGTGTCTCTCCAGTTCAGTTTTATTCCTGGAGTGGTTGGAGGGGGGGGGGGGGGCTCTTTGCCCCTCGGGTTTCCCATAAAGGGTATACAGCTCCTTTAGTACAGGCAGATTCAACAAGAGTAGAGATCAGGTCTTTCTGGAAATCACTGCTTCTCCTTCATTCAGGTGGCGTGAATGGTTTTTAAAGTTCCTTCTGCAGCTTTCTAGATGAACATTCACTTGCTAATCTTTTCTCCTTTCAAAAGAATACTTCCTCTTTTTCTGGCCTAAACATAGGCAGGCACTTATAAGTTAATTTCTCCCTTTTTCCCTGTTGTCTATAACTGCATGTTTCCTAGAGAATTGTGTTTCAATGAGATTGTCAGTTTCCCAGCCAGCTCCAGTTCATGATATTTTGGGACAATACATATTAACTGTTTCTAATTCTGTACTGAAGCAATTCCTAACAGGGCATTTAAGCCAGGTCATAGAAATGGGACCCGAAGACACAGCCTAATAAAAACCCTCTGAAGGACTGGTGCCGAAGCTGGTTTCCTTCCTAGTTCAACACCATTTCAGAAACTGCACGGATGACCTTTATTTTCTTCTCCGCAGCACACACGACTGTAATTTCCCATGACTATTTATGGCCTGTACAGCCCTTCTCTAACTTCCTTTTTTTCCTCTTTAATGTCAACAGAATACGTGTGTCTTTAATGGAAAATGTTCTATTTTGGGGAAGCCGCTTTCCTCGGACAGTGGTGGAGTTGGGTGTGCAGCCGGTAGGGGTCGTGGGACTGGTTGTTACGTTAGGGGACTGAGAGCTGGGGCTGGCAGCCCTGGTGGTGACTCACAAACGCAAAGGCTTCTTTTTGTCCAAGATTAAAAATAACTGCACCTCGTATTTCATATTCTTTTTCTTTTTTAAGGAAGATTTTATTGTTTTTCCCAAACATAAGACAGGAGGATAGTCCTGAATTGGATGCCGAAATTTCAGACCCAATTTTAAAAGAAGAGAGTGGAGGTTCATTAACAGAGTGAGGAGTCAGGGCAGCCTTGACCTTGAGAGTGTGGCAGGTGGGTCCTGTGGGCTGAACACTCTCCCTGTGCCGGCGGCTGCAGCTTCCCCTTGGGACACACACCCAGTGCGAGACAACCTGCAAGCCACACGCGGTTCCTGCTCTGTCCTCCCCTTCCCTTCCAAATGATGTGGACCTGACCACAGCAAGGGGGCTGTTTCGGTTCTGCAGCTTTGCATTTTGCGTTTATCTGTCTCGCAGTAACAGCAGGATTGCTGGTTTTGACCGTTTTAGTTAGGTATAAAAACATGCTCTCATTTGAATAACCAGTTGCATATATATGTTATATATATGTTATTTACTTGCTTTACATGTAATGTAAAAAATTTTGAAGAATACTATAGAAACAGAGAAGGGGCCAAATTATAAGGGTAGCAGTGATGAGTTTTCTCAAAGTGAGCACACTCGTGTGCCCAGCACCCAGGTCAGGAAGGAGGACGTGGTGTCGGAATAACCGAAAGCCCCTCCTAGACACTGCTTCCTCCCCCCCTACTTCTACTGCCATGGACTCGTTTGCCCTGATTCTCAGCTCCGTCCGTAGTGACGGCCTCACGCAGCACGTGCATCGTTCTCCTATTTCTTTCCCTCGACGTTACGTGTGTGAGGCTTGGCCTGTTGCTTGTGTGGTTGTAATTCTTTATCACCCCAGCTTTGTGGTGTTCAGTTATCAGAGCAAACCAGCTCCTGCACTTGTGAGTCTAGTAAAATTTAACAACATCCTGACAAGGGCTTAGTCGCTATGTGATTTACTTGTGAGCTGATGTCTAATTGATTGATTACTCTGAACTCTTTAAAAAAAAATAGGTGATTGTTTTTCTCTTCCTTAAGACAAAATATTTGCTTTATCACCCTCTCCTCCACTCCCCATGAGCTATAAAATTAGTTACTTCCTCTCTCCTTTGTGCTTCCACAGAGATTGATTTCTGTCTCTCTGTATTTAACACGCACAGGTAGGCAGGTCAGGTGTCTCCATGCCTGCTAAAGCCAGATCCTGTCTTTAAACTCCTGTTTCCAGGCCCGGTTTCTAACACGCTAGGTTTTTGAGGCTTCTGGACCAGAGCTCTGGCTGACCAGCAGGACTTTGTTGCATTTGGTCATTGTAGCTTGAGGTTCCTGAATGCATCTGCGAACAAACTGGAAACCCTTCCTCCGGCCACACTTTCCGAAGAGACGAGCAGCGTCTTGCAGGAGTTGTACCTGACGAACAACAACCTCACGGACAAGTGCGTGCCCCTGTTGACCGGACACCCCCACCTGAAGATCCTGCACTTGGCCTACAACCGGCTCCAGAGCTTCCCAGCAAGGTGAGGATCGCAGCGGGGTGCTTTTCACTGTGTTTCTGGAAACGAATTCGCGGAGGGGAAGGCCACAGCCAAAACGTTCGTTTCGCAGATGATGCCAGGCTTGTTGCGTCCTGGTTCCTCCTCCCAGCTGTCTTTTCTGCGAGCCATGGTCGCCATTGCCCTAAGCAGAAACGCGTTGTGTTTTGAGTATGAGTGTATCCAAAGGCCCACTCACTAGCACATTCGTACGGTTGTGAAATAAGGTAATGTAGTTTAGCTGATGTATTTTTTTCTTTTGATTCTTTTTAACCAGTCAAATTAATTGTTAAAAAATTAACCTAATATGGTGGGTAGTAATTAGAACCTAAACAAGGAACCTGAAGGTCCTTAATTAGCTGCCAGCTCTTGTGTTTGTGCTTATGGTACAAGAAGCAAGGGTGGCCTGTGCAACCGTAGAAACTGGGTAACATTACAAACGAGGTCTGGCTCTCAGAAGATTCCATTTTTAATAATATTTTGAGGTAGATATCTAGCATCTACAACCAGTGGCACGGTGTCTGGTATTGAGGGAGTCCACGCACCAAGCCTGCCATGAAGGACTTGCCCCCCTTCCGTGCCGTGGGCACTCACTCATCCCACGAGTTGGGACTTGGAGAACATGCCCACACATCAGAGAAGCAAACCCTGATCCCTCTGGTGTTCTGCTGACTGCAGCCGAGCCCTGGGCCAACGCACAGCACTGGCACAGTCTCCCTCTGAGCTGCCGAGACCACCAGTTTGTTTAAACCCTCAGTAAGGAGGGCCCAGATACGCATCAGCTTCAAGTGCTGCTCTCTTGTTCGTAGTCTGTATTTATTTCTGTAGCTTTTCCTTCATTTAATGATAATGATTCAGTGTTTTTTTAACCTTCTGTGTACTTAACTATGGAATGAGGAGGTGATTTGTTGGCAAGAAAACATGACAGTCCCATAAGATAATATTTCTGAAAAGGCTCATTGTCCTATTTCAGATGGTGAATGCGTGAGCCCTCCAGGAAAAAAGATTGTCAAACTCAAAATCTGGGAGTGTCCCCTAGGGCCCCACATCAGTTGTAATCACCTGAGGTACAGAGAATTTTTTGTGCACCCCATGCAAACCCATCTGGCCTCGGTTCCTGCCTCCCCGGGGGCTGTGACGTGGCACAGTAGCTCCCCTGCAGACAGGCCTGGGGTTTACCTGCCTGCTTGAGCCTCTGCCTCACGGGAGGTCTGGCCTCAGGTCGACTCAGCCGGTGGAGCACAGCCCGCTCCCGCAGTCAGGGCCACCCCTCCACGTGCGGGGACATCACTTCCCGTAACTTCTTCCCTGGGCCTGATTTCTGTGCTCGCAGTCATTTCTCATGCCCCATTACCCCCTGATTTCTCCACGTTTCTTTTCGGGGTAGTCTGATAACGTATTCAAGTAATAGTCTTACCAATTCAGGCTGCTGTAAATGGATTGCTTCAGTCTTTGTATGTGGTGGTGTTTGTGGCACATCCTAGTACTAGGATGGATATTTACGCCATTAAAAGATCTGATTTCATAAGACAAGAACTTCGTTCTTGTTGTGCCCCAGGCCTATATTTATTTTCAGGGTAAGCAAATAATACAACTTTTATATGTGAGAGATGACGAAAGAAAAGTAATAAGCAGTTTCTTGCTAAAGTGTTTAAAGGTTTATTGTGGCAAGCAGAGGAGACACCGATAATTGTAACCTAAACGATCGGATTGCAAGTGCGAGGGACACTCACTGGGCACCTGGCACCCCCTGTGGTGGGGACAGGGAGCAGTGTCTGGTGGCGTGTGTGCCACGGGCTGTAGAGGTGGGGGGCGTGTTCCTCCAAATGTACAAGAAACACAGGACACCCTGATCCAGTAGTGTCCTTGTACTTGGTTGCTGTAGTTATCGATTCATATTATTAAAATTAAATATCGATTAAGAGTGGACAAGAAAAAGCATTGTGTAACGAGAGTGTTGGGTGACATCAGTTGCCAAGGTTAGGTCAGAGGGGTTCCTTCTTTGTGGCGGTTTGGGAGGGGTTGAGAGGACTCTCCTTGGGGCACAGCTTCGCTGTGGGTACTGCCAGCCGGTGGGGAGAGATGACTCAGACGACCTTCCACATCCGCTCCCCCGCAACCCAGCAGCTGTCATCGTGGTGACGGAGACAGCAGAGGAATTGGGGAGTGCAGTTTTAAGAGAGAATGTACCTTCGAGGTATAACCCTCTCCTCTCTCTGTTCTCCGAGTTTTCAGGGCCAATACAAAGGAACCCGGACTCTCCACCTAAGCTCTTTCAAAGCACTGATACTGGATTAGTGCTAACTTTTGACCTGTTTGAGCAGGATTTTCGTTGGCTTTTAGACTGAGCTACATAGCAAGGGGATTGTAGCCTGGCTAACTTAATTCACACGTACAGTTTTCCATGGAAAAGGCTGTCTGTTATTCTTCTTGTTGACAACTTGAAGAGTTCAAGTTTTTGTTTTGTGGTAGGAAAGGAGAAGTTAAAATACTTCGATACTCAAAAACAATAGTGAGAACAAAGTCTTATATGTTAGAATGACCATTGCAAGTGAATCTTTGAGGAATCTTCAAAATCATAATAAATTCCCCTTTCATTTTTACTATGTATTATTTTCTTTTTAATTCGCCTTACAATTATCTTTTGACTCCCTGCCCCATGGGTTTCCTCTTTGTAGTAAAATGGCCAAACTGGAGGAACTGGAAGAAGTCGACGTCAGCGGGAACAAACTGAAAGCCGTCCCCACGACCATCACCAACTGCCGGCGCCTGCACACCGTGGTCGCCCACTCCAACTGCATCGAGGCCTTTCCCGAGGTCATGCAGCTCCCGGAGATCAAGGTGTGTGGTTGGACCACCAAACTTCAGGCCTCGGGTCTGCAAAGAGAACCGCCTCTCACGCGGTCATCCGAGGCGCCTGCCCTGTGGTTGGACTTCTTCAGCATAGCCACTCTCAGTTGTCCTTGCCCCATCCTTTCTAGCCACTGAGCTACACTGTTGAGTGAGCAGAGGGTAAAAATTCCCCAAACAAAAACCACCAAACCAGGGTAGGGAAAATTATATGCACACCAGCGGTGTGACCTGAGGCTAGCCTCGTAGCCACCAGACTCTTCCCCCCTGTCTAGTGGTCTCACACCTGTCCTCCTCATGTACAGGCTCAAAGACGGAATCGGGTGTGACAGCAGTCTGAAAAACAACGTTATGACAGCACCCCCTCCCCTGCAGCTCCCCTCATTAAGAAGCACCCACCAGAGCCCCCGATGCACAGAAATCCCCTGCGCGGGTACAGCACCGTCAGTGCATTTCAGTTTAATGAAACTGGCGGAGCGGACCTTCCCGTCTGGCAGGCGAGGGGACTGGGCTGCTGATGCGTGGAGGGATCGGGCAGCGAGTCGGTGCGGTGTGTGTTGGTGCAAAAGTAGAAATTTTTTATTGCTGTAAAATGCAGTTCTTCATTTGCACCTTAGCATTCTGCTGTTCATCAGTTTTATGCTTAATGAAAAACTAATTCAGTGGTTTATAGACTCTGGAGTGTATTCTAGTCTCCTAATCAGGAACAAAAGCTGTCCTACTTAGCCATTCCTCACTTTTCTGGCACCTTCTGATGGAAACCTGATGTAGCAGACCTCTGAAGATACTTGAAATAGCATGCATAATTTTTTACGTCAGCAGTTTTTATACATTTGCCTGGTTGACATGTGCCTTACTTGACATATTGAGGCGTTTGGTGGCAGGTTGAAGGGCAGGAGGAGTGTGATGGGGGGGCGGGTGGGGGAATAAACCACATCAGAGACTCACTGGGACAACAGCACTGTGAGGAGGGGGTCAGAGGGAAGGGGGCTGAACTCGAAGCCAGGAAGCACCCACAGTCCTCCAAGGGGACCGGGATGGGGCCTGGACAGCGGTGAGTGGGGAGGGAACTGGCGGCAGTGAGTTCAAGACTGGTGGCCAAGTGGGCCCAGGCAGGGGTCGGTGCGTAAGCCCCGGCCCTAGGAGGACCTGCTGTCCCTTCGCCGGTGTTACCTGTGTGAGTGAATAGCCCGTGCCACTCAGTTCGTGCTTCGGCCGCTGCGAGAAGGAGCAGTTTGCACTGACATAGCTCGGGAAGTCGGAATCTGCAGGTCCTATTACGAAATATTGCCAACCAATGTTATCACATTTGGTAACGTTCTAAATGTCCTTAATCTCTTCCCGTAAGGCGTGCTCTGACCTGTGGATCCATTTCTGTCAGCCTCTTGTGTTTTAAGTTATCCACGCCTGCCAGTGCTTTAGCCAGTGTCTCAAAATTACCCCCTAGATTTTATTTGTACCATTTGTTATCGTAATGTGTACTGACTCTACCAACAGAATAGACTGTTATTAACCAATATTATCAAGTTTTCAGTAAAGTCAAGTTGACCATTTGTGCACCCATTATTTGTTATTAAAAAACAAAACAAAAATGAGGTGACCACTTCCTATTAGGAATGTTTAGGTTGAGTGAATTATTGTCCTTAAACTCAAATTACGAAGGTTACCAAAGGTGATGGGAGTGAAGGTATGGGATGAGTGTAATGGAATGAAACTGTACCTACTAATATGATCTTTATTAAAGTTTTTAATATTGATAATAGGCCTACAAGAAAAAATAGAATGTTAACACTAGTCGTGGTAGGATGCTAAATTTAAGGGCAAGTTTTCTGAACTTTTCTGTTGGTCCAACTTTTTGTAACAGGGTTATAATGCTCTTGTAATAAAGAGTACTTATTTAAAATCACAATATAATCTTGTTGCTACTATTTGGAAACGAGAGCATGAAACAATGTTTGTGAAACATTATATTCAATTTGTTTGAAGCCAGTTAATAATATATTTCTCCAAAAACAGAGGTTCTCATTTTACCCAGTCTCTACCCCTCCCCAATCCATTATACATTTAACTCGTCTAAGACTCTTTCTAGGATTTGGGCCTTTTTTTTTTTTTAACTTTTTTATTGATTATGCCATTACATTTGTTCTATTCCCCACCTCCATTCCCCTCCACCCTGCATACCCCTCCCCCACCATTTCCCCCTTTAGTTCATGAACACATGTCTCAAATTCTTTAGATTCTGTATTTCCCCTACTATTCTTACCCTCCCCCCTATCTATTTTCTATCTACTGTCTATGCTACTTATTTTCTGTACCTTCTCCCCCCTTCTCCTCCTCCCACTCCCCTGTTGCTAACCCTCCATGTGATCTTCATTTCTATGGTTCTGCTCCTGATCTAGCTGTCCTCTTAGTTGGCTTTTGTTTTAGGTGTGGTTCTTAATAACTGTGAGTTTGCTGTCCTTTCACTGTTCATCTTTTTTTATCTTCTTTTTCTTAGGTAAGTCCCTTTAACATTTCATATAATAAGGGCTTGGTGATGATGAACTCCTTGAATTTGATCTTATCTGAGAAGCACTTTATCTGTCCTTCCATTCTAAATGAAAACTTTGCTGGGTAGAGCAATCTTGGTTGTAGGTCTTTGGTTTTCATGACTTGGAATACCTCTTTCCAGCCCCTTCTTGCCTGTAAGGTGTCTTTTGAGAAATCTGCTGACAGTCTGATGGGAACTCCTTTGTAGGTGACTGTCCCCTTAGCTCTTGCTGCTTCTAGGATTCTCTCCTTCATTTTAATCTTGGCTAATGTAATGATGATGTGCCTTGGTGTGTACCTTCTTGGGTCCAACTTCTTTGGGACTCTCTGAGCTTCCTGGATTTCCTGGAAGTCTATTTCCTTTGCCAGATTGGGGAAATTCTCCTTTATTATTTGTTCAAATAAGTTTTCCACTGGTGGCTGTGCCTTTCCCCCTTCTAGTACTGATTTGGGCCACTTTTAAGATTCTGAAACTCTTGGAAAAAATTGGCTTTCAAATTATCCAAAGGTTTTTAATAGGCTCTTCAGGGCATTTTTTAGAATTAGAGTAAGGTGCCCGCTCAACCCGGATTGAGCGCTTTCCCTCCATCCTGCTAAACCGAGGGCCACACTCCCGTCCAGAGAAACGACCAGCCGCTCTCGTTCTCCCGGGTGCACAGTGAGCCCTGTGCCCTGGCTCCCTGCTCCCACAGCAGAAGCCCAACCCCCACCGTTAGGGGTTCACCTCCCTGGGGCCTGACGTGGGTCTCGTGAGAAAGGAGGTATTCCCATTCACAGGTAACAGGAAATCCATGTTCTTTAAAAACATTTTTTATTGTTGTATTATACTTGTCCCAGTCTGCCTCCCCCCCCCCACCGCCTGGCTCTCCCCTGCCCCGCCAGCCCCCCCCCCCCCCCCCCCCACAGCCAGTCCCCACCCTGGTGTCCATGTCCATGGGCCATGCACACCTGTTCCTTGACTAGACCTTCCCCCTTTCCCTTCCCTTCTGGTCGCTGTCTGTCTCTTCCTAGTTTCCATGCCTCTGGTTCTGTTTTGCTCATTTGTTTGTTTTGTGTTCTGATCCACATGCTGACTCTTTTTGTGCTTATTTTTTAAGTGAGAAGAGGCAGGAGTTGGTGGAGGGAGGGTTCGGGTGTTCAGTGCCTGGAAGGCAGGGCCCGTATCCGATTCAGGCCTTTTTCTCGTACATATAGTAGACAGCCCATCTGCGGCCCATCTGCTAGTCTGCCTTTTACCAGTTTCTCAGTTTTGAACGATCTCATTTTGAGTAGTGGTGCTCTGCTTTTTCCTCATTGTGCATGTTTTTTGTTTGCTGTTGTAAGAAGTTTGTTTTCGATGTTGTAACCCTAACCCCCATGGCCACGCTAGGTGCACAGGTCTGTCAGCACTAAGAAAAACGATCCTTAGGATTTTTCAGTTAATATTTTTTAAATACAGAGATAAAAACTGAGAAGGATAAAGATGGGGAGAATAAAGAGCATGGAATTTTTTTCTGGTGTTATTCAAAGGGAGTAAAAATTTAAAATTAATTAATTTAAAATTAATTTTTATTTTAAAATTTAAATTTTTATTTAAAATAAAAAATTTAACCACATTTAGCAAAATCTGCATCCCACACCTCCTGGCCGGGCGGCAGCCAAACTGCCCATGAGCAGGGTGGTGCGGTGAACGGTCAGCCGGGTTCTGCCTCGCGGCGTGGGAACAGGGCGCCGCCTGACCACCTCTCCTTGTTTCCTCTCGTCCTTCAGTGCGTGGACCTGAGTTGCAACGAGCTCAGCGAGGTCACTTTACCAGAAAACCTGCCCCCAAAACTGCAAGAACTGGACCTGACGGGAAACCCCCGGCTGGCCCTCGACCACAAAACCCTGGAGCTGCTGAAGTAAGTGTTGGGCGGAGCGCCGAGGGCCTGTCCTCATCTGCTGACAGCAGGGCTGTGACCGAGTGGCCATGTCCAGCAGTCTGGGGCGTCCCTAACTCACTAGCAGTACCTGCGTGCGTTGGGAGGGATTGGCAAGTCTGTACTTTACCAAAATGCAGGGCCAAGGAAAATTCCAGGAGTTGGACCCTGAGTGTCCTTCCGGAAATTTTTATAGAAAAGCAACAAGACTGCTGATAAAGACAGTGGGAGAGCAGTAAGTGACCGAGACATAGACTTATATCTCGGACACTGATAACATGGGCGATACTCGATTCAGAGGTTCCTGTAGGGGTTTGAGAGAGATAAATAATGTGGGGAAATGAACAGTTTGGAAGTAAAATCCCAATTATTGAAACAAAATGGGAAGCGTGGGATAGTTAGATCCTGTGGAGTTCTCTTCGTGTTTTGGGAAAGAGTTCATTGGCACTGTCTCTTTCTCGGTGCTGATGGAGAATTCCAGGTTCATGGTCTCGGTAAAACTATAAAGGGAACCTCATCAGAACAGATGTCTCCATAGGAATGTTATCACAGATGCTAGGTGTCTAAAAATAGAATTGTGCCCCACGGTTGAATATTGTACAGCCATTAAAAACAACAGTTTACAGTAATATTACTACTCAGGGTCTCCCCAGTATAATGTTATGTGTAAAAACGTTAGTGAAGAAACTAGTGTAGTTTCACTCCACTTTTTGCACAGTGAATTTCTGTGCACTGGGCGGCATGTCTGCATGTGTGTGCCCGTGCACACCTAGAAAAGTGCCTGAAAGGACATTTTAAAAAATGTTAAAATAGTGTTATTCTCAGCATAATGGGATTTGGAGTGGTCTTAACTTTCTTTAAACCTGTCTGAGTGTTTGGACTTTCTGGCTGTGTGTCTTAGTCACAGCCTTGGATGTTGACAACCACCGCCCATGATGTGCACCTGACGTGCTTACACCGGTGGCAGTGTCTGCAGTGAGAGTCGCCTTCTGTGACCTTAGGAAAAACTGAGAAAGGAGGGTAGAACGTTTCAAAGAAAAGTGGTACGAACACTGCTTTTGGCCCCTAAAAGTATCCTAACCTCTGGTGCAGACCAGAGTTTGAAAATCATTTAAGGTGATTCTGGATGCAATTGGCCCAATTCATGCCAATTTGCTGATATTTTAAGTACTTAATCAGAACATTGATTTTGATACATGATTAAAGACACTGGCTGGGTAGAATGTCCTCGGGAATCCGAGGAGATGAGGTTCTCGGGTGGCCGGGTCCCTGCTGTTTGGGGGCCCGGCCACACAGCCTTGGCCCGAGCGCCCCAGTCCGGCCGGGCTTGTTTCCCCATCTCCAGGCTGAGGACGGTGAGACGCACTCTAGAAGGCACTTCTCAGAGCAGAGAGCCCTCGTATTATCAAAATACATTCCGTGTGTATCCAGATAACTTTTCAGTAGTTTTACAAATATCATGTGAAATTTTGTTAAGAATCATTACATCAAAATCTGTAAAAAATGCAACTAGCCGTTCGGAGAAAAATAAAAGTTGAATTCTTATCTCACACCAAAATAAATTCCAGCAAAATTAAAGAGTTAACTCTCTAAAATGAAATAACATTTAAAAGTAAGAAGAAATCAGCCTTGGCTAGTGTAGCTCAATTGGTTGTGGTGTCATCCCATAGACCAAGGGGTGCAGGTTTGGGTCCCAGTCAGAGCACAGGCCTGGGCTGCAGGCTTGGTCCCCACTGGGGGCCTGCATGAGAGGCAACCTGCGATGTTCTAGCACCAATGTTTCTCTTCCTTCCTTCCCATCTCTAAGCATGTCCTCTCATGAGGATAAATAAGTATGTAAATAAATGTGAGGAGAAATCATATGAATATATTCCCAAGCCAGAAAAGGACTGTTTAGACCAAAAAGGAGCAGAGGGATCACAAGCAGAGAAATTAATATATGTAGATATACCTTGATATTTATGTTAGGTATATTTATATGTAAAAATACTTTTTATGCATAAAAGATTTAAATGTATTCCAAAAGCTACCAAGAATAAATCTAAGAAGAATGAAAAACTTAAGAAGAAAGAAGAAGAAGAAACTTAAAAAGAAGAAACTTTGGCAAAAATACTAAAATAAAAGCATTAATATTTAATAGAAAATGTTCTTCTAAGTCAGTAAAAAATACTCAAAATAAGTAAAGAACATACACATTGAAGAAAAAAATACAGATAGTGACATGAAAAGATTGTTTTTAACTTTATTAGTACATCAAGGAACTATGAAATATTTAAATGGTAATGATTCTCTCCCTGAGGTTGGTGCTTCTAGAGGACTGTGCGTGCATGTAGCTTTTCTTAAAGCCACTGGCTCTGTGTGTCAAGCTTCTGAAAATATTCCCATTCTGAGACCAAGGTTTTCTCTGGCAAAAACTTATTCTAAAAAATGATCAGAAACATGTTTATTTTGGATGTAGCATAATCTTCAAGATATTTCTAATCTTATTTAGGATCAGTGTAAAACGATGGGAAGTGTCCATGATTTAATCAGAAAAAAAGACGCAGAGCCGCAGACAGACCACCGAGCCATGTTGCGTGTGTGTTGGAGAACATCTGCTTGTTGAATTCTCTCCAGTGAGCACGTGTTCCTGGAGGGGCCAAGCTACTGCAGTGAAGCACTTACCTGTGTGCTGTCAGGTTTTAGAAAAAGTAACAGACAATGAAATCACAATACTCTTACGTGAAACGTTACCTTCTGTTCCACATCTAGAAGATGGTGGCTTTTTAGCAACGTGGGAGGGTCTTAGTATCTAACGTATTGCTTGCACTTTTGGAGGCCTTTGTTCTGCGTGAGCCGGGAGCAGTGCCTCTGGCGACCCTGCAGCGTGACCCAGCTCCCGCTCCCAGGCCGCCTCCGACTCACTGAAGATGTGCAGGAGTCAACATTCAGGGCACGAGGGACAGCCGCTTGGCCACACTGTGATCAGCGGGGCCGAGAATGAGAAGTTGCTGCTTCATGGGAAAGGATTATGGGGACTTTGAGGATTATATATTCTTTCATAATCAGGCTAGGAAATGGAATTACTTCTTTGAAGGCTCAGTGTTCTGTCTGTGAAAAGTATAAATGTCTTTAGAAATGAGCCTCCGGCTTTCCCCTGGAATGCAGAAAGGTAGCAAAGTCGCAGTGAGAGCCAGTCTTTGGAGCGAAACCGCCACATTGCTTAGCGTCGCTTCTGCACCCGGGCAGCATTTGGCACCCAGTCGGGGGTGGGGGTGGGGGGAGCGCTGAAATGGCAGCCTGTGCTCATAGCTCTCCTCTTGGACCAGTGGGGCTGGAAACGTTGAAAAGAGGGGAGGTATCTATCTCCCTACTGTAAAACGAGGTAGTGGCTTGATTTGGGGATTTTCCATTGGTACCGTCTATGACTTTTATGTTTTGCAGCTTTTTAGGATAAAAGGACAATTCGATGTTTGCTGGTAATTGAGAGTAGAAACTCTGTTTTAACAAAACAATTTTAAATTTCAAAGAAAGTGCCACCAACTGTCTCGAGTTAAAGCGAATACTATTTGGTATCAGTTTACTTCTTAGAGTTGAATGGTTCTTAGGAGAGGCATTCAGTATTTGTTATATCTTAGAGTTAATGGATGCCAGCAGATCATTAAAATTCTTATAGTCATGACGAGTGTCGAGGTGCCATTTAAGTTAAGGGATTGTACAGATGCTTTTCCTTCTATTTAAGGAAGGGGGAGGGCTAGTGGCAGTTTACAAGTAGGAAGGATTTATTTCACCATGTGGCAACCAGCCCTTTAAAAAATCTACTTCACATCCGAATGACACCGAATGCTGCCTGGTGGGCCGGTTTTTAATGAACCCCATTCGAGAGTTTGTTTGCACTTTTCATATTCCTGTTGTGGGTCCTCTTGGGCCGGTTACGGCATATGGGGGCAGAGGTGGGGTAGGAGCTTGTCTTCCAGTTTAAATACACATGGTTAGCATGTAATTTATTGAAATTCTCTTTGTTTACTTTGTAATTTTGTTGGATTAGCCTTAGCATGGCTGACTGTGCAAGGAAGGAAAGAGTCGGAAGCTTTAGGGGGTGGCAAGTCCTTGGTAATGCTCACGAAATATTTTAACCAGTGATACAGGCAGGAACTGTTTTCGAGGATGAATGCTGCAGAATTGTCTCACATCCATGCAAACACGATGTAACTGTGGCTTGGGTTTTGATCTTTTCCCACCTGCGTGTTCGTGTTGTAAGAATGCGCACAATCTGATAGTTAGATTTCCTTTTCCCACAGCAGGGTCGAGAGCCGTCCTGTTCACTCCCAGGGAAGAGCAGCCCTCCAGTGCTGCGTGCGTGGGAGTCTCTGAGAACTGACGTGGACTGCCGACGGGAACTAATGTCCATGCTCTGCACGTCTGCCCCTTCATTTCCATCGTGAATATAGTAGCTAGTAATTGTTGCTGATAACTGTTTCAGACACCTTAGGCCCTGGCCAGGCAGCTCGGTTGGTTAGAGCATCATCTATCTCAATACGCCAAGGTTAAAGGTTCAAGCCCCAGTCGGGGCACATACAGGGATCAACCAACAAGTGCATAGATAAGTGGAATAACAAATTGATGTTTTCTCTCTCTCTCTCCCCCCAAAAAGAAAAGTCAATAAGTAAACAATTTAAACAAATATTTCAGACACTTAAAACAGTAAGAAACGGTAAGTACAGAGTACTTAACAGGTATTTTTCATTTCTCAGATAAAGCTAGCAACTTGTACATGTTTGGTTTTAACTATTTCCGCCCCTTACGTCTCTCCTGCTAGCAATATCCGCTGTTTCAAGATCGATCAGCCTTCCTCAGGAGACGCCTCTGGAGCCCCTGCCGTATGGAGCCATGGCTACACGGAAGCCTCGGGGGTGAAAAACAAGTGAGTGGGGGGGAGCTTTGAGTGAGAGCCCTCCTGCCCCACTGCCCCTCGGAGTGGGGCATAAAGAAACCCGGTGCTCACACCTGCCTGCCTGGTGTGCTACTCACTCGAGCTTGTTTCCCCAAAGTCAGGCCACCTCCTGACCGAGGTGCATTTGCACGTGAACCGCAGCACTGCTTGGCATCACATACTCTCCCTTTGTGAGAGATGTTGCTAGGATACAGTGTAACTGACATACTATATCTGTGTGAGACTCCAATGTTTGGAGGAGGCATCAGTATTGAAATGCATCCCTGCTCTTTTGAAAAGCCCCTTTCTCTTTCGCTGAAGCCTGCTTCCCCAGCAAAACGGGATCCTCGATTCTCCATATTTGAGATCCCTTACGTACTGACCAGCCGTGCTTCTAGGGAGCTGTTTCTACGATTGACAAGAACTTGGCAGGCGTGTGATGGCTGTGTTCTGTCCTGTCAGCTGCTCGTCCTGCCGCCTTCTGAATTTCTTTCTCTTTCCCATCTGAGATGCAAATGTTGATTTTCTTGAGAACGGTAATCAAGCTATTCAGGCTTGCTTGCATTTTATCAAGAGATGCTAATAATTAGTACTAGAAAAGTAGGGAACCCTGTAAATTCTAATAGTCATAATTTAATTAGCAATGGTGCCAGGACACAACATACTGAGAGGAGGGAGAACAGAAAGTGGACGATCCAGTGACAGTGGACATGAGACTCGGCCCTGGGCCCACAGGAGAATCAGTCAGATGGCGAATTCACCGCAGTTCTCCAACCGAGCGAGGGCCGTTGAATCAGAATGGTTTGCAGGCCCCACCAGGTGATTCTGACGCACATGCAGGTTTGAGAACCATGGACCAGCTGAATACCCTCCATGGAAAATGAGAGGTGGGCGCGCAGGTGCGGTGCTGTCTGCTTTCTTTGGGATGAAAGACAGAATCGGCTCGAGTTCTGGACCGGCACCCTGACCCTTCCCTCTCTGAGAGTGTGGTGCATTGTGCGGACCAGAGCGGAGGTGGTCCCTGTTCCGACGCCGTGCCCCGTCTGCCCTCCGTGCTACTTGGGCCCTGGGTGTCACGTGGTTTCTATGCACTTGGCGACATGTGTCATGGTAGTTGGGGGAGAGGGGAAGAAGTGCATTCCTTGGAGCACTCCAGGTTCCTTCTTAGAGGTCTTTTTAGATTGAAAGGCCTTGATATCTTGCTTGCCAACACTAGTATGTAAAGTTGCTTTTGAATTCACGAACACCAATGTAAAATTCAAGATTGGTTTTTAAACATCTCTGGGTATTAAAATGTTATTTACATATATATATATATATAATATATATATTATATATATCTTATATATATTATATATATCTTATATATATATATGAATGCAGCAATGACCAATTAATCTTTTTGCTTAATTCCTCCTTCCACAATTCCACAATTACTTTCTGAAAAATTTTGTTAGACTGAAGTATAGCATTAAGTACAGGAAAGTGAGTAAATGATAAGCGCACAGCTCTATGAATCCTAAAGCAATCCCACCTGCAAATCACCCTCAATCACAAAACTAGCATGTTACCAGCACCCCGAAGTCCCATGCCACCAGGCCCTCATTTTACTTCGCTTTTTTACCTTTGACTTCACCAGCAGAAGCTTCTCAAGGTTTTTCTCTGTGAGTTGTAGAGAGTGTTTTGTAAACAAGGAGCTTGCTGCTTGCCATCTCGAGGGGAGGCCAGAACTGCGGTCGTCCCTGCCTCCAAGTCTTGGGAGATGGCTGTGCCCCCTTCTGTCCCTCCTCCTGCCCCTCGGGGAGCCGTGTGGCCTCCCTGTCAGTCACTGCAGATCCTTTGGGGAAACCCAAGCGGGCAGCTTCAGCTGGATGAGTTAGGCTCTTACTCAGACTGAAAAACAAGCAGGAAGCTTCAGTGGAAGAGAAAAATCACTACTGGGCTTTTAAAAAACACATCTTTTTTTACACTCCCCTCCCCCATTTTGACGAGCACAGGGAGCCTATAGAAGGGAAGTAGAATTATAAGATGACCTGATATTATAGTGTGAATTGTACTTTGCCACTATTGCCATGTAGCTTGGGCCGGCTGGCTTTCCTTAGTGGTCGGAGGCAGGGGCGTGACGGAGCCAGCGGGTCAGACTGCCCGGCTTTACGTCGGGGCTCCGTGCGCGGCTGCTGAATGACCTTGGGCAGTTACTCAACCCCCCTTTGGTTTAATTTCCTCATCTGTGAAATGGCACTGAAAATACCGCCTGTGTCCACAGGGTGGTTGTCAGGCTTCCGAGTTACACACCAATGTGCGGTGTTCACGGCGAGGCCTTTCGGACGTGTTTATTTGCTTTTCCTGTGTTTGCGTCTTTTCCAGTGCTTTAGTTGCTACCCCATCTTTGTCTGATGTGGAAGTTCTCCTGAATCACTTTTGTGAAGATGGGCGTACGGATTTGTGATTGTGTTGTTTCCCATGGCCCTCGTTCTCTTTCTGCCACCCTTGAAAACAATGTCATCTAAAGAAAAGGGGCCAGGAAGCCACGTGACACATACACACGTGTCGGTCATCCTGGTTTACAGGCGGGAGTTGACAGAAATCAGTTGGGGTTAGCGGACCCAATTTTACTCTGTCCGGGGTCCGGAAAAAAGACCCAAGCAGGGGGCGCACAAATCCGAAAGGAAACCGGCGGGTGGGGCCCAGAGAGGGAGGAGCAGGCCTGGCCCAACCGCACTCTTGCTTTGCAGGCTGTGCGTGGCGGCTCTGTCGGTGAATAACTTCTGCGACAGCCGGGAGGCCCTGTACGGCGTGTTCGATGGAGACCGGAACGTGGAGGTGCCCTACCTTCTCCAGTGCACCATGAGCGACATCTTGGCGGAAGAGCTGCAGAAAACGAAGAACGAAGAGGAGTACATGGTCAACACCTTCATCGTCATGCAGAGGTGCGGTTCGGAACCTCCTCTCTGTGTGTCCGCGTTCTCCTCTGAGTGCTGGCCCTGTGGCTCGAAAACCAGGCGTCCGGCAATCTCGGAGCGCCGTGGTTGGCTGCGGGTGGTGCAGATGCGTGCAGGCGATTGGCTGTCCCCGAGCGTCACGGGTGGACTGTGTCCTGTCTGAGCCATACTGATGCTCTGACAGCTTTGCAGGGGTCCGTGACAGGAATTCCGTTTCTTTAAAACTGGATGCCACGGGCCCGCCAGGAGCCCCGGTTTTCGCGGCTGGGCACCGCCCATGCCCCCTTCCCCGTTCACCAGAGGCTCCTCCGGCCTTTCAGTGTGCGGACTTTCTTTGAAACAGACCGTCCTGTCTCGGGTGGTTCACCTTTACAAAACAGTCACCGGTCGGAGACGGGGTAGTCCTTGGTAAACCTGCCACAGTCCGATTTCAAGCCGGAACCTTGGCCATTCTTCAGGTGCTGTTTCCCCCTTTGTAAAATGTTCAGGTCAGTGTTACCGGCAGGGTCCTAGGCCACTGCCTAGCGCTTAGGGCTACTCCAGAAATTTTGGAATGTATGTACCTCTTAGTGCTGAGTGTGCTGAGCGTCCCCTCCTTCAAAGGACCACCCCCACTTGGTGGCTTGCCTGGCTCTGCAGGCTCTAGACACGGGGCCTGCCCAGTAACGCTGCCCTGCAGACACCTGCCCGTGTGGGGCCAGGAAGGGAGAGTGCTCTGAAGGTCACGGGAACCACGCTGTCTCTTCTCTCTTCTCTTTCTCTTCCGGGGTCATCTGCCAGAGGAAGTATCTCTGTGAGGGGGGAGAGGGGTCTCAGCCAAGGACTGCTGGTTCGGAGAAGCCTTTCAAGTTCCCCCAAGTCATGAAGAGCTAGGTCCTTGCGAAGAGCTCAGCGGAGGCAGGCCCAGGGCGGGCCTTCGCTGCCAGACTCAGCGCTGTCTCTCGGCTTCTCAGTGGGCCTGCTGCTCGCTGCTAGTGTTCGATGGCTCTTTAGATGTCCTGGTCATTATTCCAGATTCCGTAATGCCTTAAACCCTACCCAGTGGGTGTGGCTCTGTTACTGATGGTGTTTGACTGACGGGAGGCTCGGCCAGATGAGAGAGAGGAGGTCAGAGAGACGAGGCACGTTGTGCTGAGAGCTGGTAGGGGCGCAGCCAGAACGGGACCGTAGGCAGAAAGACCCCCAGAGGATGCGGACCACCGGGGACACCTGCCTACTTCTCTGTTTTCATCCATACCTGGTCCTGCAAAAAGACAAACGGGTAACACCCACACACACGTTCACCACCCCACACACACACCCCTTCACACACCTCCAAGAAGTCTGCTTGTTATAGACCCTCTAGCACTGGCTAAGAATTAAAAACATAAGAACCTTGCACTCTGATTATTTGCTGTGCTGGCCACAGGACAGCGCCCCATTTCTGGCCTTGCCCAGGGCAATCACTGAGCGGTGCCTCGAGCCAAACCCGGCTGTGGGTGTCCAGGAGTTGGGGTCTGAGACCCAAACTGCTGGCCCGTGTCCAGGGTCATTCACAGGCCTCGGTTTCACTGCTTGTTAATAGGACGTGGCCATGTGGTGTCTTTTGTTGGGGACTTGGATGGTCTTGGTGCAACAGGCTAATGCACGTGCCAGGCAGCCCTGGCTTCCGTTGCTGGTGTTGTCACCTGACTTAGATGGGACGGGAGCTGACAGAAGCTGAGGGTCTGCCCTTGTAAACAGGCGTCTGTCTCTCCTAACCGTGTGCTCCTGTGCACTCGGGATCGGCAGGGCCTGGCCGGCTCCGCAGTCCGTGGGGCTCCCCTAGATGGTCGGGCCTGCAGGTGCTCTGTAATCAGTCGGCAGTGGACCGACGGTCACGGACGACAGTGTTCCGGAGCTTGAATACCAGAACGCCCTTTCTGGGAAGGTTCTAGAACTGGCATCACTGGTCCAGCAGGTCCTCACCATCTAGAACAGGAACACAGATGGTCCAGTACGGCGGCACTGTCCCCAGCAGACCTCCGTGTTACAGGGGAGGGTGGCCAGGTGACCCCGAGGCCTGTGTGTCAGCAGGTGTGATGTCTCTCACCTGCTCCTGTGGAAGCGGTCCTGTCAGTGCACCTCTCCGGGGAGCAGGGGTTCAGAGAGGGTGGGGGAGCCCTCCCTGCTCGTTTGTCCTCTGGAGCTCGCTGCTCTGGGAGTGGCGGGCTGGGCACAGCAGGGCAGCGGCTCTCTCATTGCACTTCAGCTCCACCTGCTTTGCCCTGGTGGGGGGCAAACCCCTCTTAGTGAGGGGTGCATGAGCGGGGCCTACGGTGGTGAAGAGGCTCACCTAAACCCTGGGTTCTGTCCCCCCCCCCCATCTAGTGAACAGTTTTCTGTTCCTTCAGTAAAACAGATGTGTGTCAGGCTGCATGGGTTTTCACACCCTCTCTTTGGATTCCAGGAAACTGGGAACTGCTGGGCAGAAACTTGGAGGCGCTGCTGTCCTTTGTCACATCAGACATGACCCTGTGGACCCAGGAGGGTCCTTCACCTTGACCTCTGCTAATGTGGGCAAGTGCCAGACGGTTCTCTGTCGCAACGGGAAGCCGCTGCCTCTGTCCAAATCGTACATCATGAGCTGCGAGGAAGAACTGAAGAGAATTAAACAGCACAAGGCCATTATCACTGAGGTGAGGGGAGAGAGAGTGAGCGCCATTCTCCTCGGGGGGGTGGGGACGAAGGGCCAGGGTCGTGTGGCAGAGAAGCCAGCCAGGGACCGTTTCCCTCCAAAGACTTTCTTTAAAGGTGGTTTAAAATTGGAATTCCAAATCCCTAGTGTCACAAAGCCAATCTTTGAATGACAGGTGTGAGGACGTTCAGTGCACAGAACACTGAACAGTTGTGAGTGGTCTCTCTCTGTCGGGTTGTGCCCGGCGCCCCGTGGTGCTGACCCATCTGGGCCTCACAGACGCGCTGGTTTGGCTGCTGGTTGAGGGCTCTGCCCCTGAGATCATCACACTGCTGGCATCCCTGTCCCGGTGGGCTGTGAACTTTAAACCTTGAAGCCTCAGTTTCCTCATCCGTGAAGTGGGCATAGTAATAAATCTGCCCTGTCTAACAAGGCCTCTGTATCAGCAGAAATGGACTGGCTGTTTTGGGGGGTCATACACCCTGGTCCATTTGAATAAGGCAGTGAACAGTTTTCAGCCAGGGGCAGTTTTGTCCCAGAGGACATTTCACAGCACCTGGAGACGACATCTGTTGTCACACCTGGGGCAGAGAGTGCTGTGGGCATGAGCCTGCAGTGCAGAGGACGCCCCACAGCAGCAAGGCTCCGGGCCAGTGCGGCGGCGGTGCCCTGGGTGCCCCGGTGAGGAAGGCCGGGCGAGGCCAGCCGTGCCGATGCGGGTCCTGACGATGCAGCAGCGCCTGTGGGTCCCAGCGGCCCTGCTCCAGGTGCCAGATCCTCACACAGTACTGCCACCTGCTGGGCGCTCAACAATGATGGGGGACAGAAGTGACCCCCACAGACTCACGGGAGGTGTCCAGCCTTGCACTGTCAATAAAACCCACAGGCCTTGTGCGTGTCGCCCGGGAGGACAGTGCGACAGTGTGCGGTTTGTAGAGAAGTGTGTTGAGTCCAGATGGGCTTTGACAGGGACTGTGAGGAAGACAGGGACGTGGGATCCGCTGTGAGTCTGGGAGTGAGTTTGCGGGTGTCAGTCCCCCACCTGCCTGTTCTGGAAGCCGAGCAGACTCAGACAGTAGACACCGTCTCGGGGAGCAGAGCGGTGTGAGATGGCACAGGATGTGTTGAATTAGACACTTCACTTGACATGACACTACGGTTAATGGTGTCCGTACGCAAGTGCAGAGCCATTCTGTCTCCTCTGCCCTCCCCCCCCTTTTGTCTGCACCGCAGCACATGCAGTCCCCTTTGGTTTTGTGGCTTCTCTGCTTCAAGGTGTGCCCCCAAAGTGCCCACGTGCGCACACAGACACATACAACACAGACGCACGACTGTTGGTTCTGCTGGGGTGAGAACAGCCAGGGTAATTTCTGGCAAATTCCACACTTCAGGGAGCAACAGATTACATGAGTAGAATCAAGAGAGCTGAAAACCGGTTGAAGACTCGTTTCAGTTTTGCTTCTAAGAACTCTGCCTGCTTGTGCGTGTGTCGAGGCAGGCGTGTCCGTGGAGTTGCACAAGGCAGCCCGAGAATACCCAGCAGGCGCCTTGCAAATCTCCAGTGAGAAAGGCGGGTCGAATCAGAAACGGCCGGTTTCTGGAAGATACACCAGCTTCTAAGGGAGACGGCGAGGCCACCTCTGTGACCTCGTTCTAGACACACACTGAAAGTGGCATTTGTCATGATGGAGGTTCCCTGGGACCGTCGTTAAAAATAGGGGCATGGAGAGGCCCGTGATGGACCGAAACCCTCAGACTTGAACAGAGAACCAAGTGGGTACAGAGGGCCACCCCTCCCCCATCCGGCTTCAGAGTAAAGGTCTTTTACCAGCCAATGGTCTGAAACTTTGGCTCGTGATTTAAATGGCGTGAACCCAACTGGACTAAAGCCGAGGGACTTTGTCTTCTCTCCTTACCACCAGCAGAGCAAGTTCTCAGGAGTGATGGGAACAGGGTCCCCGCCAGTTTTTTTTTACCTTCCTAAGTTTAAAACGGTGTTGCCTCTGGGCCTTGTGGCTGATGGGCTGTTGGAGAGAAGCGCAAGGTTTGGGGCATTATTTGGCACCGGACCTGCCCCACGTGTCTGCCTGGGATGGGCTAACTTCAGGCCCGTCCTCCCCTGTGGGCTGCAGGAAAAGTCAGCACCCGCGCTGCTCCGTCAGGCCAGATGGTGGTTTGCTTAGAAGCCAGTGTGAACGCAACCCTCCTCCCTCCTGCGTCTGACCTGCCCAGGTTTCTCCTGACAGGTGGACACTCGCCATTCACCACAGCCTGCGCAGTCCTTCCCTCTGTGGCCCAGCTTCCTCCCTGGGGTCCCGGCAGGAGGCCCGAGGGAGGTTGCTGCCTGTGCTCTGTGCTAACCTCTGCTCGCACACCCTGTTCTTCCAGGACGGCAAGGTGAACGGAGTGACTGAGTCCACCCGCATCCTGGGCTACACGTTCCTCCACCCGAGCGTGGTGCCCCGCCCCCACGTGCAGTCCGTGCCCCTGACCCCGCAGGACGAGTTCTTCATCCTGGGCAGCAAGGGCTTGTGGGACAGCCTGTCCATGGAGGAGGCTGTGGCAGCCGTGCGCAACGTGCCCGACGCCCTGGCCGCCGCTAAGAAGCTGTGCACCCTGGCGCAGAGCTACGGCTGCCGCGACAGCCTCAGCGCCGTGGTGGTGCAGCTCAGCGTCACCGAGGACAGCTTCTGCTGCTGTGAGCTGGGCGCTGGCGGGGCGCTGCCGCCACCCAGCCCGGGCATCTTCCCGCCCTCGGTCAGCATGGTGATCAAGGACCGGCCGGCGGACGGGCTGGGCGGGCCGTCCTCCAGCAGCGGCATGGCCTCGGAGATCAGCAGCGAGCTGTCCACCTCTGAGATGAGCAGCGAGGTGGGTTCCACGGCCTCCGACGAGCCCCCGCCTGGGCCCCTGAGCGAGAGCGGCCCCGCCTTCCCCAGCGAGCAGCGCTGCCTGCTGCACCCTGCCTGCCTGCCCAGCTCCTTCCAGCGCCAGCTGTCCAGCGCCACGTTTTCCAGCGCCTTCTCGGACAACGGCCTGGACAGTGACGACGAAGAGCCGATTGAGGGCGTCTTCAGCAATGGCAGCCGGGTGGAGGTGGAGGTGGACATCCACTGCGGCCGCGCCAAGGACAGGGACAAGCCGCAGCCCGCGCTGCTCGTGCAGGCCGAGGCCAGCGACGAGGGCATCGTCATCAGCGCCAACGAGGACGAGCCCGGGCTGCCCAGGAAGGTGGACTTCGCTGCCGTGGGGACCATCGGGCGCCGGAGGGCCAACGGCTCGGTGGCGCCCCAGGAGAGGAGCCACAACGTGATCGAGGTAGCCGCGGACGCACCTCTCCGGAGGCCTGGAGGCTACTTCGCCGCCCCCGCCCAGCCGGACCCCGAGGATCAGTTTATCATCCCGCCTGAGCTGGAGGAGGAGGTCAAGGAGATCATGAAACACCACCAGCAGCAGCAGCCGCCGCGGCCGTGCCCGGGGGACCCGCTGCCGGACTACTGCGACACACCGCTATGACCGCGGCCCCCTGGACTACACGACCTGGGAGGCTGAGCGGCACGAGGCTCCGGGCTGGCGTTAAGCAGGGTCCGACCGCGCCCTCCCCCGACCCCCCGCCTGTCTTTGCGGCCAGTCTGTAGGTTCTCCCTGCTGGTGATTTTTAAAATAATTACCACTTTTCTTCTAGTGATGCTTTACCGATATGATTTAAATTTGTTAACTTCTTTTCCTAACGTCTCAGATGTGTAAAGACAAAGAACAAAAGGTTTAATATATTACAGAGAAACAGTTAATGATAATGTAATATTTTTTAAAATGGCTTTTTATTGTTTTGTTCGGAAGGCAGGGCAGGTTGCCATTGCTAAATGATTTAATAATATTGTAATTCGGGGGGGAAAGCTTTTTTTTTTGTCTTGAAAATGATAGACATTTGTAGAATATGGAGACTAACTCCTAGGAGTTGCTTACTCTGTCAGGTGACTTACGTCACTGGATTCACTAATTTTCTCTGAGAGAACAGTTGATTGAGAAATTTCTATTGTAAATAGCTCAGTGTTGTATAGTGTTGCTTCCGGTGTTTCGTAGTTTGGGCGTAAGGACACGGTCTAAACAACTGACTGCCCCCCACCCAGGAGCCCCCACCCAGCCCCCCAGTTCATCATTAAATATGAGGCCGAACGGCGAAGAGCGTTTCTGTTCAAAGGTGGTGCCTTGTGGGCCACTGCAGACACAGTTGCACCCGAGGGGCCCCTGTACCTCTTTCCCTCCTCTCCCGGCCCCCAGCCCCCAGCCCCCTGACTTTCACAGACACTTTCTAACCCTGTTCCTTACTGCCGCCGCCCCGGTCAGCATGGTTGTGTAGCGTTCAGGTAGGCCATTCACATACCAAGAGTTCTACTACAGCAGAATGCACAGATGAACATGTCATAATTTTTGTTATAATAAATACAAAATTTACAAGTACTGCACCCATCTGCTTTTGTCTCAGCAGCCAGATGTGCCTTGCAGTCGGTCGCCACAGCTGGGGTTGGGCTTGGAGTGACCAGGTGGACTGTTGATGTTACCAGATGCTTTCTGACTGATATTTTTGGGAAGGGAAAAACACCCAACAGGTTAACCTACACTGAATGAGGTAGTGACGTTGACCTTGAGATTAACAGAAGTAGTTGATCTTGTGGCCTTCCCATGTCTCGTTATTATGTAGCCCAGGTGTTAAAAGGGGATGAGACAGAGGTTGCAAAAAACAGGGCCTCTGGAAGCTGTCTCCCACAGAGCCATGCCCATCTCCACCTCTCCCAGGGGCCCCCAAAGCACAAGATCAGGTTAATCACCTTCGTCTGAACAGTGAACATCAGAAGCTAGTCAGCTCAGTCCCCACCACTAGGACAAGTGATGCTCGCACGGTGCCGCCCACTGGGACGTCCAGCACGCCCCTGACGGCCTCGCTGACCGACGGCAGCCCCGCCCCCGTGAGCCACGTGTTGAAGACTCGGTCCGTCTTCTCTGACTCACATGGACCGGCTTCCCAGGTGGACCTGCTCCCGTCCTCCTTCAGGTCTGCCCCCGAGTGGTGATGGTTCAGTGCCAGGACGATCAGCATTCCTCAACTCGCAGGCTCGGGGGTGGTGGCCTGTCTGTCCCTTTGCTGAGTGGCCAGGTGAGTGGGCTGGCCTCGTCTTGGTGTTGTCTGTGCTTGGTCCCACGTCGGGCCACTCGCGCACCGTGCTTCTTGGACACCACGAAGGCCACAAAGGAGCTCCTCTCAGCCCAGGGAGGGATCAGTGACCAGTGGCCTAGACTGTTCCAGACTGGAAGCAAAACCAGCCCCCAGCCCCCTGAGGACACCTGTGCCCAGCCCCTCGCCAGCCCCTGCCCTCCGCAGTCTGCTCTGCGGTAGGCGGATCCCAGCAGGCAGAGGCGGGAGGCACTGGGGCCCACGCCAGCGGAGGCCTGGCTGGTTCCCGCAGTTCCTAAACCCCCTGTGGGCCCGGCTCAGCCACCGCCCTGGGTGGGGCATCCCCAGGCCAGCCGGCCGTGTGGATCTCTCTGCTGCAGCTCCCTTCCGCGGGGGCCAGCACTGGACACCCTCGTGGTGGTCACCTGAGGAGGCAGCAGTCACTCGAGGAGCCCACGATGGGTGGGGGTGGCCAGGTGCCCCGGGGAGAGCCCCTCACGAGCCACGTCTGTGGCTGATGTGCGGACCGGGGCAGCTGGGGCTGGTGCTGGCCGAGGCCCGCCAGTTCCGCCAGTGCCGGCTTTCCTGTTCGCTGTGTCCTGATGTCACACTGAGCACACCCTACACGTAGAAGGTGCTGGGGAACGAACGAAGGGCAGGGCGTTTCTCTTCGGGAGTGTGGGGCAAACAGGCACGTGGACAGAGGAGCACGCCTTGCTCTTGCGTGGAAGCCTCGCCGTTGTTTTCCGAGGAAGCATGTCCTTTTGCTTCTCATCACGGTAGCATCTGATAATATACGTAAGCTATAACATGCATACTATTTCAAGGTCCCAAATCCAAGGTATCTGCAGAGTGAATATGAGCCAGAAGGGCATCTCCCCCTGCTGGGCAGAGCAGGTAACTGGGGAAGAGCAGGAGAGAGGGCGGGAGATGGAGCAGATTTGAGAAGCCCCGAGAAGGCTTGCGTCCTTGCCAGTACCCTCGGCTCCCCTTTCAGGACCGTAGAAGTGGTTTGGTGTGAGAGCGTCCACCTGTGTGCCCTCGGATTACTGCCTTTGTGGACTCCCAACCTCTCCCACCTGGTTTCTCTCGATTGCTTTTGTCGCAGCACCCCCTGCTGGTGAGGCTAGACCCTGGGTGCAAGTGGCCTCCCTGCTGATTCCTTCTTCATCCTTCCTCCAGGTTTCCAGAAAAAATAAAGTTTATGCTACTCATGATGTGAGAAAGCAGTCCCAGCACTATTAAGGAGATAGAGAATTTTTTAATCCTCATCCGAAGGACATTTTTTCATTGTTTGTTGTTTTTAGAAAGCGGGAAAGGGAGAGAAACATCCACGTGCAAGAGAAACAGTGACTGGTTGCCTTGTATGATCCTGGATCATGGATTGAGTGGTTGCCTCACATGTGCCCCTGGTCTGGTATGTGCCGTGATCAGGGGTTGAACCCGGAACCTTTCGGCTGTGGGAAGACTCTCCAACCAACCGAGCCACACTGGCCAGGGCAGAGGCAGAGGATTCTGATTAAGCCGTACCGTATTGCACCCATGGAGGTCTGCTTTGTCAGGTGGTGTAATGGGTGACCGCTGGTCATGGGCACTGTGCTCCCTGGGAAGTTGCCATGTGGGCCTGTGAAGAGGGGCAGCTGGTCACAGCACCGACCTGGAAGACAGGAGGTGAGTATCCTCAGCGTCTGCCTAGTTCCCCACTCCCCGCGGTGAAAGACACACACATAAAAATCCGCGCTGTGCCTCGGATCTGGCAGGACAGCATCCAAGAGTCGGGCCAGGGAACAGTCCGATTTGGTTGCATGACCCCAGGTGAAGCCTCCTAGAAGGCATTGGGAGGTCACCCCAACCTGTCAGAAGGTGGGGTTCAGGTGAAGTGTGGGGGCTGTGGTACCTGCCCTTGCTGCCTACCCGGTGATCGAACCAGGCCACTCATTCAAGGCAATTTGTAGATAGTAAAGCCTTATGTAGGCAGAAGTATTGTCACTGTTATAATGAACCATTAAGGATGGCTGGAAAGAAAGTAATTGGGAATGCAGCAAAAGTGCCTCTTTAAATGAAAAACTCTTACCAGAAACATCTATTGAATTGTTACAGGAGAGAGAGATGCAGTAATGGGAGAGAAAGTAGGCTTTCCTCATTTCTTGCTATTGAATTTCATTTTTTCTTTCCCTTCATCCTCCAGCATACCTTTTGTGCAAACGAATCCCTGCAAACTTTGTTCTATTTCACTATAGTCATTCACCTGCCATGAACCGACCCCCATTGCTGCATGCCTGAAAGATGGCTCCGAAATCTTTTTATTCCCCACCGCCATCAGAATACCAAAATTGCCACAAGGCTAGACAATTTGGCAAGCCCACTATCCCAACCATTCAGTGACAGGTCCTGAGGGTGACTGGGTTAGGGGGCTGCTGCCTGTTGTCCTCTCCAGAAGATCAAGGCTGAACACTGGACAGGAGGAGGCGGACAGGAGCCCCGACTTCTGGGCTGTGTTATGAAGTAGGAAGTCATGCCATTCCTGGCCCTGAATTGAAGAGCCCCAAAACAAGGGCTGCCTTTGTTGGGCTGCGGTTCGTGAGTGCCTTCATTTTAATTCCAGACCAGAAACACAATGTTCTGTCCTATTCAAAGGGGGGGGGGGGGGGTGCGGCAGAGCTCTTGGAGAATTTGCTGCCATCTGCTTATGACTGGGCCTCCTCCATTACCCTGCCTCACTGAAGATGTGAAGGTAAAACGTTTCAAACCGAAATGTCTACTCATTTCCGAGTTCTTAGCTCTCACGTTCCCCTAACTACTAATCTTACCCATTGAAAGAGCATTCAAATAGCAACCAAGGTAGATTTCCCAAATGTTGTGCCTCCAGATGTTGACTTTTCTGGAGCTCTCATTAAGAGGTCATTTGCTTTCCTGGGACTGTGCAAACTGCTCCACAGTTAGAATTCGGAGGTTCTTAAATCAGCGGAAATTGCCCTGCACACCAGGAATAAGCCACACACACAAAATATCTTGTTGTATGGCCTACGATCCATTTTAAGAACTACTCAAATATTCCTTTTCCTAGAGCCATGTCAGTGGGTTAAAAATAGCTGTTGAAATGTGCGTCGCTCCAGGCCTGCCGAGTGCAGGAGCGGCGGGTTGTTAGCCACTGCAGCCACCGGCTCTCCCAGGTAGACCCGCTGGGAACCTCACTGGGCTCGCAGTGCAGGATGCCTGCATGTCATTTGCATACACTCTCATGGCAACACTTCCAGGACTCCTCCACTCCCCACATTCGTGCCTCAGGGTATTTCATGGATTACCAAGTGTGCGGTTTTGTCCTTTTCCTTCTCAATCCCTGGCACTCATTCGGAGGTACGGGCTGGTGCGTGTCAGGGAAGGTCAGGACTTCCCACCTCCAAGGCATAAAGAGGGGAGAAGGGCCACCGCCCACACGCTGCTCCTCATTAACGCCCAGAGCGGGCGGGTCCTTCCTGCAGTGGAGAGCCAGCAGCCCTTGCTGCCCACTCAGGGCTCAGCACGGGGGTGCTTACTGTCCCCCCATGTCAGCCGCTCCCCACTGCCTCCTGGACGCCCCTGCAGGCCTGGCACTGGCCCAACCTGTATCCGTCGTCAAGCCCTGTCGATCCACCTCCTGGACCTCCCTCAGGGAGGACAGGGGCGATGAATACACGGTTTGTTTGTTTTACAAACATGATGATTGCAGATGTGAAGAAACTAGGAAGAGGGTGATGGGATCAAGGTGATGTTGGAGAAGAAGGCAGGATCTGGAGGAAGAGACTCTCAGGCAGAGGACCTGCCAGGGCACAGCCGCGGAGGGGGGGTGAGTGCTGGGGTCCCGGCAGGATGACGAGGACAGATGACAAGGTAAGGATTTGAAGTTTGCTCTGCCACAGAGATGAGTCAAACAAGGTATGACATCAGACATAAAACATTTGTCTTATCAGACAAATAAGATATTTCTGATAGTTCTTATATTTCGTTTTTATTTTCCATCCTCACCCAAAGATAGGCTCACTGATTTTAGAGAGAGGGGAAGGGAAGGAGGCAGAGAGGGAGAGAAACACGGATCGGTTGCCTCTAGTATGTGCCCGACCAGCACGGAACTCACAGCCTGGGTGCGCGCCCTGAGCGGGATGGAGCACACAACCTCTGGTTGACAGCCGATGCTCCAACCACGTGAGCCACAACAGCCCGGGCCGTGATTGTTCTCATTATGGGTCAGGCCCTAATTCAAGTTCTTCTAGGCAGCTGGCATGGGGTTGCACTTGAGACCACAGGGTCT